CCGGTACGACCTTGGGCCGGTCCCCCCAGCTCGCCCCATAAGCGCACGGCAGATGGAAGGGAGCCGTGCGATGACGTCAGAGCAGGTTTCAGCACAGCATCTATGTTGCAGTGCGGTGCATGAAGAAGTCATGCATTTGTTATCCGATTTTGATAGGCTTTTCAGAAATTAGAACGGGCTTTGTGGAGTCAACTGATCTGTTCATTGCGATTGGGCCCAAACTTGATCCCGTAGCCGTCCAAAGTGACAGGGCGGGGACTTGGCGCCGACAACGACGTGTGTGTACGAACCAGGAGCTAACTGAGAGGTCACGAGTGGCGTGACAGGACCGGGGACTTGGCGCCGGCAGCGGCATGTGTGTACGAACCAGGAGCTGACTGAGAGGTCACGAGTGGCGTGACAGGACCGGGGACTTGGCGCCGACAACGGCGTGTGTTTACGAACCAGGACCTGACTGAGAGGTCACGAGTGGCGTAACAGGACCGGGGACTTGGCGCCGACAACGGCGTGTGTGTACGAACCAGGAGCTGACTGAGAGGTCACGAGTGGCGTAACAGACCGGGGACTTGGCGCCGGCAGCGGCATGTGTGTACGAACCAGGAGCTGACTGAGAGGTCACGAGTGGCGTAACAGGACCGGGGACTTGGCGCCGGCAGCGGCATGTGTGTACGAAGCAGGAGCTGACTGAGAGGTCACGAGTGGCGTAACAGGACCGGGACTTGGCGCCGGCAGCGGCATGTGTGTACGAACCAGGAGCTGACTGAGAGGTCACGAGTGGCGTAACAGAACCGGGGACTTGCGCCGGCAGCGGCATGTGTGTACGAACCAGGAGCTGACTGAGAGGTCACGAGTGGCGTAACAGACCGGGGACTTGGCGCCGGCAGCGGCATGTGTGTAACGAAGCAGGAGGCTGACTGAGAGGTCACGAGTTGGCGTAACAGGACCGGGGACTTGGCGCCGGCAGCGGCATGTGTGTACGAACCAGGAGCTGACTGAGAGGGTCACGAAGTGGCGTAACAGGACCGGTGACTTGGCGCCGGCAGCGGCATGTGTGTACGAAGCAGGAGCTGACTGAGAGGTCACGAGTATCGTGACAGGACCGGGGGACTTGGCGCCGGCAGCGGCATGTGTGTACGAACCAGGAGCTGACTGAGAGGTCACGAGTGGCGTAACAGGACCGGGGACTTGGCGCCGGCAGCGGCGTGTGTGTACGAAGCAGGAGCTGACTGAGAGGTCACGAGTATCGTGACAGGACCGGGGACTTGGCGCCGGCAGCGGCATGTGTGTACGAACCAGGAGCTGACTGAGAGGTCACGAGTGGCGTAACAGGACCGGGGACTTGGCGCCGACAACGGCGTGTGTTACGAACCAGGAGCTGACTGAGAGGTCACGAGTGGCGTAACAGGACCGGGGACTTGGCGCCGACAACGGCGTGTGTGTACGAAGCAGGAGCTGACTGAAAGGTCACGAGTGGCATGACAGGACCGGGGAGGGCGCAAAATGACCCTAGAAATCGACGCGCCCTAAAACCCCAATCATCATCATCGACAGGACCGGGGACTTTGCGCCGACAGCGGCGTGGGTGTACGAACCAGGGGCTGACTGAGAGGTCACGAGTGGCGGTTCGAGCGGCCCCGATCATCAGCCGGCGCTCAGCGGGCGGCGGCGCGACGAGGGCGGGATGCAGGCCACCGTGGCCAGCTGACGACATACCGGAAAGCTATGGTTGGGGCTGGCCCGGCACATGTGCCGTGGTGCGATGTGTAAAAATGAACACGTCTGACTGCCGTTGCCAACCTGATCCAGCCGACGGGCAGGGTGATGAAACGGCAAGGTTTACTGGGTGGCACTGGGTTCTGGCACTATTTTTAGGCTGTTAAGACGGACATGACGTCATTCATTGCGTGTTTCCAGTCGCTGCGCCTATTCTTGTTACCCATGGCCTTTGGTCAGACCGCGCTTGCCATTCAGTTCCCATGTGTGAAGGCTTTCGAGTTTCGGTGCTGTATATTTACCTTGGCACCAGTGCGAGTGCTGGGGAAATATTCTAGATGAAACCCGTGTTGCATTCGAGACCCACCACTTTTGGGCTTCCGTGCTTAACAACAAGAAGGAAAACTAAATATGCCGGCCCATCCCTCAAAAATGTCATGACAATGTGGCCAAAATGCTATGGAAAGCTCAACCTAGGTATGTCCGTGTTAGTTTTCAAAGCGTTTGGGCGCCTTACCTAATAAGTGGTTTCCCCGCGTCTAAGCTCGGGACTACGGAACGGGTTGTGTTGGCTTGAGGCAGTTATTCCAAGCTAATTGTGTCAGATTACGGAGAGGCATGCGTGCGGTCGTTATGTTCTGTTATTAGCACTGGTCTTTAGGCGCCCGGGAGGAGTTTCGTTGTTGGCACTTCCCATTCGAAACTCCAACCGCCCCCGTGTCAGGACGCGTATGGACTGATGAAGAACCAGACCGCCTACTATCAGCCGAAATGGCGAGAAACCAAAAGCGTGGATAAGGAAGCAGAGGGCTTCACTCTTTTGTTGTCTAGGGCTGATGTCAGGCTGCGCACAAGTACATGAGCGACACAAGCGTGTGCCAAAGTCGTGGGTTCGCCGGAGTAAGGTGTGACAAGTGCTTGGTGGTCAGCGGTGCTGGTGCACTGCCGGGGCCGGGCCTGTTCGCGGCTTGCCGGCGGCTGGCGCCGCCTGCTCTACTGACCCAGCTCGCAGCCGCTTGCCAGACGCCCGGGGCGGGGTGCCGGTCAGCTGACCGGAGGCGCCATGCGCGGCCGGGCGTCCGACCCCCACTTAGTCGTCGTGTGGTCGCCACGCGGCATGCGGCGTGGGCGCGGGTTCTGAGGTGCGTGTTGGATCGTTGGTCGTGAACCCACCCCGTGTCAGTTCCCAGTCGCTGTCTGTGGCGTCGCTAAACGGTTGCCAGCAGCCCAGGGGGTGGCGGTGTGCCCCATGCCCCGTTCGACCGTGTTCACCGGGTGTGCTCTGAGGCCGGAGCCGTGTTTTTTGCAGGCGGGTGCATGTCGACAGCGGCTGGAGTGACGTCCGACCTACACAGACCGTGTCCTACGGTACGTACCGGAAAACAGAGAGCTCGTGGCCAGGTGAGACCGCCCAGTAGCGCTACCACCGGCGAGGTGTAGAGTGCGTAAACCCGACGAATCGCAACCTGGGCAGTGTTCGTCAGTCTGGTGCCGCTTGAGCATTCGTTTGCTGCGCCATTTTTGATCATGGCATCGGTGCGTGTCCAGGGAGATTGTGTGTGGGTGGCGATTAATAGAATAGCCCTCTGACTTGTGGTTTCGTTATCCGAAAAGCATGAAGAACGGCTGTGTAATTTTTGCCCTAAGGAATCACTCGCTCCCGGAAATTCCAAAAACAAATCAAGAGCTCTATGGGATAAGAACCATTCACTCCAACCTGTCTGACCGCTCTGGCTAATAAGCATCGGATTGGCCTTAAACGGATTTTTCGGTAACTGTCATTGGATCGCATAACATTGCACACGGTCAGACGTCTAGTTCTGCATCCAGTTTTACGCATGTGGGTTTTTTTAAAAGATTACTACACCATGCTTAAATATGACTTAAAAAACTGCCTTATCGGACCTTAACGCCTGTCGACATGCCTGCTTTTGTAGAGCGTTCGGGTAAAAAGGATAAAGTGTTCATGACATGTGGCTTCCTGCTTTAATGGCACGCTACTACATATAACTAATGTAATAGATGTTGAAATAGGAGAGCTCTCAGCTTCTGAGGCGGTGTTTAAGTCAGTGGTCGTCAAGTAGGCTGACGGCGCAGGCTACCCCGGCGTCACTTCATGGTCGTAGGGCGGCCGCTCTCTCTCTCTCTCTTCAGCGTGTCCGCTCCACTCACAGATGAGTCGATCTGCGACGAACGGTGGCGGCCGTATAGGATGTTGGCACGGGTGCTCGCCCAACCGCTGTAAATGCGTGTTGGAGAAGGAGGTGAGGATTCCCTGCAGTCTTGGGCTCCAGTTCTTTGGTGGGTGGATGCAGATTCGGATCAAACACTATCCGCATCGTAATTCCTAAACTTTGAATTCGTGTTTAGGCTCATTTTTAACATTTTATGGTGTTCTGGCAGACTGTTCTGTCCGCGCGCATTTGTAACTGGGTCGAAAGACTAGAGGGAGACATTGCTACCAGTTGGTGTAGGCTCCAAAGGTTTGGTTTTCGTTGAGGTATGTACTATGGAGAAAGCGTTTGGCGATGTAACAATTTTCCTTGCTTCTATGTCGTGTTCAGAAGTGACTATAGCAACAGCGAATATTTGTGCCGGAAACTGTGTCTAATCTTTCAAATCTTTGAACCCATAAAGCGATGATTCGAATCCCATAGCCAGGCAGTCCTAAAAGCCATCACTCAATTATGCACGTAATATTATGCATTTTTTTAAGTTCACCTTCCCGTCACGTAACTTGTCTGGTATGCTTTGGACTGAACTGTCCGTCTCCCTTTTCATAGCCTTGTATCATTTCAAAATTTCATTGAAAAGAAAGATTCTGATCTATTCGAATTAAGTTTCAGAACAATTTTAAGTCCCAATCCCAATCCACCTACGCTAGGATTCGAATTGAATCGAATTCTAATTCACAAAATGCTGTGAATCCTCAGCTCTAGTAGGCACCCTGTTGAGATTATCTTGCTTGATAGCGCTAAAAGTAATGCCTCCCATTTTCTATGGTATGGTAGCGAATGGGCTAGAACATTACGCGATTAAGTTGGTCGAGTTACGGAAGGTGAAAGATCTGTCGTGGACTAGTTGCCTCGAGATTCCTGCTGCTTCTGATTCCCGATCAAGACCGTGCAAGGATCTCTTGTAGTTTCACATGACTCCTCGGACCCCGGGAAGTAAACGACAGCATGTGTTAAGCTGAACACGAACGACAGGCACAGGCGACACGCCGGAGGCTCCGTGGGGGGGGGGGGGGGGGAGGGGAAGGCGAGATGAAAACACAAGTTGATGTCGTTTGACCGCAACTGACTTGCCAATCATTGGAGATATTTCAACGTGGCCGAATTGGTAGTTTATAGATAAGACAGTTCTGTTTGCCTTATTCCACGTAGAATAACCAGGAGAAAGGAGAGATAGATGTATTGATATTTCGGCTACATGCTTCATCGGAACAAAATCGGCAGTAGATTCAAAATTGCCTGCCGATCCCACCCGTTTTTTGTTTTTGTTTTGAAACCGCGAGCCACAGTTTTAATAAGCCGCCAGCATCCAGGCAGTAACAAGGAGCAATGGCCAGATATCATTACGATGCAGTGTAAATCTAACTAATGCTTAAAATACGCGAAAAAATGTGTGCATGCAAACAAATTCAAATAAACGGGCGTCACGCACCATTCATACATGCGAGCGGTTTCAACTGAACAGGCGTCACATATCACTTGTACATGCAAACGATTTTAATGCAATATGCATCGCTAATCACGCGTCAGGCATCTTTCATACACACCCATCACTTATTACTGCGCACATACTCACGTCTTCATCACTCACTTACATATGCACATCATATTCGCATGATCGGCTGAGATGAACCCTGCGCTTTAATGACCGATAACCGACTTTTTATAAAATGGATTCACTTATTTTCCTCTTGATGCAACTTGATGCGCGATGTCCGTTTTATCGAAATCGTTTGCATGTGCACGTGATGCATGATGCGTGATGCGCGTTAACTTTAAATTGCCTGCGTGTATGGATGATGCGTGATGCCTGTTTACCTGAATTCATTTGCATGTACACGTATTTTTCTCGTATCAAATCTTCTTAAATCTCATAGTCGCGTATCAAATCGTCCCAAGTCTCAAATTTTCGCGTATCAGACCTTCGAAGCAAGTCTTGTTGGCGAGATATACATTTTATCATAGTAGGTTGGAAGGCGTTTGCTCTTTGTTTAATCCCCTGAATGTTGGTGACTTATAAAAACTGCGGCTCGCTGATTAAAAAAAAACAACTGCAAAATGTAGTATGATCGGCAGACATTTTTAAATGTCCTGCTGGTATTTGTTTAGATAAAGGCATATAACTGAAATTGCAATGTATGTGTCCCTTCTTTCTCGTGCTTATTCTACAAGGAATAAGGTTAACGCTATTGTCTTATCTATATCCATAATATTCCTCGCAAATGCACTTAACAACTTACGGAATTCGTAGTTTCGAATAGGTACGAAACGTCTGCTTTCTTTTCGGATTTTTGCGGCCGCATATCTGTGGATTGGCTGGGAAACCACCCTCGCAATTGGCAGAAAGGCATGAAACAGCTGCGAAGGATCGCTCGGTTACGAGTCAGTTTGTTTGTGGAGCGTGTGCCGCTGCTTGGCAATGCGCCATTCTTGGCGCTATTTTGAAACAACTGGCGATTGATTTTCATCGCGCCGTTAAGTTTCTTAATTAATCTAGATGCAACATTTTACGTCCATCTCACAAAGTGGTGTGAACTGATGGCCTGCACTGGGAAATCACACGAAGTCACTAGATGCGACCACTGATAGGCGACGTGGTCGTACTGTAAATTGCTGATTGAGTCGCCTTTGAAATGATTTGGCACGCGTGACTGAACACGCGTCGGAGGGATGGTGCTGCCAGTCTGGGCCCGGGCGAACGGTGACGCCCCCTCGTGTGTTGCAGGGCGGCGCCATGACGTCTGTGCCCGGCCAGTTCATCGTGCAGCGCGTGGTGCGGCTGGCGGTCGACGTGTTCCGATCGCCGGGAGGCTCTGAAAAGGTGTTCCGCGAAGGCCTGGCCAAGCTGAACCAGCTGGTTAGCCAGCTGACGGCACAGGACGTGGGCTTCGACCCGCGCTGGGTGCGCGACACGCGACCTTACCGCCAGGACCTGGGCGTGGCGCCCATGACCTACGTCCGCCTCTTCGAGAACGACTCTGTCAGCATTGGGATTTTCATCCTTAAGAACGGCTTCACGCTGCCCACGCACGACCACCCGCACATGCACGGTGTGCTGAAGGTGCTGCACGGTCACCTGCTGATGCAGTCGTTCACGCGCGTGCCGGCGGCGCCTGGCATTCTGAACGGAGTGCGGAGTAGCGCCCAGGAGGGCGCGATGGACTGGGATATGCGCCAGACTCCGCTGGGGCCCATCTACCACACTGTGAAGGAGACGCCACGCCGCCTGGGCGCGACAGACCCGCCGTGCCTGCTGACACCCAATCAGTCCAACATCCACCAGATCCGGGCCGTCGACGGACCCGTGGCGTTCCTCGACATACTGGCGCCGCCCTACGACGACGACGAGCACATCTACCACAACTTCCGCGAGCTGGAGCCGGAGAAGCTGCGCCAGCTGACGGGTGGCGAGGTGGCCTCCGACGGCTGGCTCATCCGCGTGCGCAATAACTCGTTCTTCTCGGACTCGGCGCCGTACCGCGGCCCGCCACTCGACGATATTCGCTGAGGCCGCCAATCGACTGGCCGGCCCGGCCGGCCCGCTCCCGGCCGGCTCTCCCGTTCAGGCCCGTGAAGCCGGCGGCCCGCCAGTCCGCCCCGCGTCGCGACCACTGAAGCGCCGCGGGTGGGACAGAACGGCGACGGCGGCCCGAGCGGACGTGACCGGGTGTGCGCTGCCGCCTGACTTACTCCGACCGCCGTCCGGTCGCTCCTGGTGCGGTGGCGGGGGGCGCGGTGGCAGTGCGCGTGGAGAGCCGACTCGCCTCGAAGGCGGTCGTGGCGGAGTGCAGCGCTGCATAAGGTGGCGGGGGAAACTGGAGCGCCGCGCTGCGCTCCGCCGGCTCCTGGTCACGTGTCGCTCGGGCTGCCCAGCCGGCCTGCGGTCTCCGCCGGCCCGGCGGTCCCGGCGCCGGCGGCTGGTGCGCCGCTGCCGCTGCCGCTGTCGAGCGGCGCCGTGCGCGTCAGGTGCCATGCTGACGGAGGCAGAGGGAGCTGGCGGCGGTGCGTGCGGCGCGACGCTACCGGCTCGGCCCTGGGCAATATTACTCGCGGTAGCCGACGCGTCTCCGGACTGGTGGGCGGTCAAGGGTGGCATGTGTGATTCGTAGGCGCAGGTCATGACACAGCCTTTCAAGTCCCTTACTCAGCGAAGTGTGCCGGCGTTGGGAAGTTGTCTTGCTTAACTTTCGGGAGGTGTACGAAAGTTTTTACTGTATTCAGAAGCTGATCATTTTAGGATCATAAGGCCTTGTGAGTCGTCTGGATGGGTGAGGGTACGTGTGGACCTCCTCGAGGTGGCTGAGGGACTATTTGATCGTCTCGGTAAATTGGGCTGTGGAAGGAACCATGTGGGTAAACTAGGACACCGACTGGATGTGACCGTACTGACGTTAAGCAGTGCTAGTGAAGCGTTTGTTCTCCGTGTGTGAAGGTGTGCAAGTCCTTTGAGAGGATGGGCCGACACCGGGGAGAAGGGCCGGCCTCGAGCGCCTCGCGCACAACACGCCCTGGTCAGCCGCCACCTCGTGCTGGCCAGCGGGGTCGGCCGGCACTCCCGCAGCCGTGCGAAGCTCACCACTGAAGCTACCGAGGCTCAGCCTGCGGCGCGAGCCTGGCTCATCGCGAAGCGGTGGCGTCTCGGCCGGGTGCCTGCCTGCCGCGGAGGGGCGCGCCAGGCGCACCTCTTTGAGGACTCTTTCTTAGAGTCAGTGTGCTGTAAATAAAACTAGGGGCGGCGGCGCCGTCTTTAACGCCTGTCAGCTAACGTCGTGTGTCCGCCAAGGCGCTGGCCGGGGCAGTCCGGCGCAGCGGTGCAGCAGTGTGGGAGGGGGACCAGTGCCCCCTCCAGTATCTGGAGCATGAACATCAGCCCTATGGCGTTACATGGTTAAAACGTGGATCGAACCCCGTTCCTGCTTGTTGGAGGTGGCCCGGCTGCTGGCCGGGCGCCTCGCCCGGGACTGACCGGGTTGGGTGGCCTCGGTCGCCGTCAGTGAGCGGCACGGTGCGAACAGCCCCGCATGTCTCTAGTCAGCCCGGTGCCGGCTCGGCGCGTTGTTGACCTCTGTGTGTTACGCCTAGGGCGCGGTGTCGGCCCTGCGTGTGCGGGGGGCGGCAGGCGGCGGCGGCGGCCGGCCTCTGCCGGGGTCAGACACCCACCTGGGCTTGGCCGCTTTCGTATGAAATACAGTTATGCATGAACACTGGGGATGTGTGCCCGGGCAGTGTTTGAAGGCCGCCGAACGCAACGAGGATGTCCACACGTCGGGCGCAGCCGGCGTGACACGTCTTGGTCGTGAGGACTATGGAGTGGCTCTCAGCGGCCGTGAGCGGTGTTGGTCTGCATCCTTTGCCGATCAGGGGTGTGTCATGCAGAGCGTACACAGGTGCGGAAAGGGTTGCAATGTCCGTGCTTACCCACAACAAGAGCACAAGGCTGTGGAACCATTCTGCTGCAAGCAAACATTCAGTTCCACCTTGCGAGTCCAACGGAAGAATCCCCAGGATCTACGTCATCGCCAAGTTACACAAAATTTCTATCCACGGGAAAGATGCCGCTCCTTGGGAGGCCGAGGCCCAGCGCAGTTGCGAATTCGTGCCGAGCGGGGTATCGTCGTGCTCCTCATGGGTCGTACTCCATACGATGGTAACCTGTGTGGTCCTAACCCACAGCCGGGCATTGTGCGCCACTAAACGGCTGCAGGCCTGAAATGTGTATATATATATATATATATATATATATATATATATATATAATCTGTTGTAGTGTGGCTTCTCATATCACTAGTAACGAGCTTGCAGCTGCAGCTGCTTCAACAGCGGATTGCGAACTTCAGAGGTTTGACGGAAAAAACGAGAAGTATTTGCTCACTGGCCCAACTCATGGCGTATCTTCGATGACTGTGCGCTCAAGGGACCGGCGGATGGTCGTTTAGTGATGACTTGCCTCACCAGACTGCGCGAATACGATGCTCACCAGAGCTACCTCGCTGCGGTTTTCACATTATGTGGACGGATGTGGTATGCTTTCCACATACTTGTTGGTGCGCGCTGTTCCGAAAAACAGTGAGGGCCCGTTGTAGACGTACTCGAGTCAGTGCTGCGACGCCCTGCACGAGCCGCCCACACTACAGACCTGTGAGTGCAGACCTACAGACAGACCTCACGAGTGTTCCGTGTAGTGCATGAAACATCTGCTCAGACGCTCAAGCGGAGTTGTGGTCGATTCAGGGGTGCAGCCAGAATTGCGACGAAAGTGGCTACCATGGTCTGCGATGGGACACGTTTTTTCGAGCGAGGCAGCACGTACGTACTGAACACAGATTAACAGACCCCACAAACGCAAATAGGTACAGTCAGCGGCGCCGCCACCAATTTGTGATAGGTGGGACGAGGTTGTAAAACCAGCGCGGTACTTGAATAAAAAGAAACCGACAGAAAATAATGCGCTGAACCCTGGCCCCGATAGGGGATCGATGTGACCCGTTTAAGTTTTTGAGGAGGCCTCTTCGGCATGCCGCGCAACTGCGCCCAAATTTTCAACAGCCTGCGAGATATCCATTTTGCGTATTTTGACACAAACAGTGTGCTCCTAGCGTTTCTACTTTCGGAGCACCGGGGATTTTTGAGGAGCGCTGCACGGCGACCCACGGCCTGCGCGGGCGGCGGTCGGCAACAGACGATGATACGACACGCGCGCGGCGGGCCCACATTGGTTTATCAAATTAATTGAAACCATAAACCCTAAACATATGGCCAAACACATCAAACTTCACCCTACTGCGCTCAAAAGCAAACAACAAGCAAACCTGTTTAGGTTTTGTGTCGCCGCAAGGCAGGGTCTCGTATGCATAAGCATGGGTGCAGGAACAGGGGGCCAGGGAGCCATGGTCCCCAGTTTTCAATTTTGGGGGTGGCGGTTACGTTAACTGCCACCCTTTTCCAAATGTAATTTACGCTCAGCTTACTTTTGGGCTACCTTAAACACGCATGCCGATTTACTTAGTTCGCCGGGTATCTTCATATCAAAAATCTTTCAGATGGCAAATGACAGCATCTTATGCTACCATCCACGATGACGGAGATGTGTAGGGGCAAACGCCAGGTTGCTGTGGAGCCAAAGGCTCCGTTCAGTCTTTTTGTACAACCTCGGTTCGTTTGCCTGATGGCTTAGTCTCCTCAGCAGGCCATGAAGTTTAAAATGGATCTGTCATAAGCGTTTGGCGTAGTCAAGTATGCCAGGTAAAAACTAGGTTTTTAGATGATGCCGGGGTTTGGCGTAACTTAGCAAAATTGCCGCTTTTACACGCCATATCATGATGAAGATCCCTCCGCCTCCCGCCAACTGGCATCTGCCTGGCCAAACAATCAGCGGCCTCAGAAATCCAACCCCGGGTACCTACCACGTGCTAGAGTGGGTAGGGTTTACATATAATATACCAATGATCGGCCACCAAACCCCTTGCAACGACTTAGAGCTGCCTGTTTAACGACGTCTGAGAGGCTAATGTGGTTGCTTTCCGTCCTATTGCTTCGAGAAGTGTCAGAGGAAACACACGCATGTAGCTGGAAATAATTTCCAACAGGTGTCGCAAGAGGATCCAGGAAGTGCAGTCAGTTTTTAGCGAAGCCCACGGTTACGGAAAACAGGAATCCAATGTCTTGATGGGATGTGTCTTAGAGTCACTGCAGAGTCTTAGCAAGCAGGTCGTGGGCTTACTGCGTGAAAATGTCTGAGGCGATGCTTTCAAATAATTTATTACACTTCTTTGGTGTGCTTCATCACCTTCGACGCATGACCATGTGGCGCGAAATCGGTTAGCGCTATGGCAGTGTTTATCTCAGGTTCGAATTAACACTATCCCAATGTGTCAACGATTTATTCTCGCAACATATGAAATAGCGTGCCGCAGGCACTTGCAGCAGCCACCTCCCAGCACGCACGCGATATAAACAGGGCGTGGAAGGGGCGAGCAGGCAACGACCGACTTCCGTGAACGTTGCAAGCGGTTCACCCCACGCTGCTGCACGAAAAGCTGGCTGACAGGCTGAGTTTGTCTCCTATGATTGTACACGGCCCTCGTAGGCAGGGCATCACACCCGGCTCTCGTCAGGCACCCCGGCAGCCATTGGTAGATCCGGCCAGGGAATGCTATGGCCGGATCCAATGGTATTGAATGCATCCCGAGCTAGTGCAAATACTGATCGTCCATAGCACGCAGCGGGTCTTCCAATACGCCTTTAAAAAGTCAGCTCTGTCGCTCAGTGAAGCAAACCGCAGGCACTCTGTAACGACTTAAGTTTCAGTCCGATAGTGTAATTTACGGAAGTTGCACGAAAAACGGCAGCATATAAAATGTCAACTTTTGTCCTAAGATACCGGGTTACGCTATCAGCCTTCGACAGATGTAGGTACACAGCTTGTTTGAGAAAAGTGTGTACATTCGCCCTACATACAACAGCGGGTTAAGTCGGCTGTATTGAAGGAGATACAATGGATGCCCGGTGGACCAACTCATGCCCGAGGCAGGCAGTTATCCGGAAGTCCGTTGTGCTGTGGTGTGGTGTACGGGATTGATAATGATGTATATTAATTCACATGATTCGAAACTACGTGCGGTAGCAGGCGCCTATCTGCATTATGCACCAGTAAGCGGTTATGGTGATTCGTAACTATGCAGCAAAGCAGTCATGCGGGTAGTTCGCACCAATCGATTTCGTATGCGATCATTTTTTCAGTCACGTGGGCGGCAGCCGGTCCAAAGCGGTCGCTGCCGACAGCGGTTGGAAGCAGGGCTCAGACAGAGAATATCTGGAAGGGAGGCCTTCATTCTATGACTCGGTCTTATACAGGAAAAAACCCGGCTTTATGCCATGTGTCACATTGTTTTTGGCAGGTAGTATGAAACTTTTGAATTTGTTTCCACTTAAAATCCTACTACAAAAAGTTATCTCTTGAAAAGGAGTCGGCGAAATGCAGGCGCACAAAAACTCTGACATTCTATGAGCCATTCAATCGAATTTGAACTTCTGACCACCCTGTACCCAGGCCTCGTTTTGAAACCTTTACTTTGGAACGAGATGCCTCCCAAATGACCCTGAACCCCCACCCGCCCGTGAAATTTCGCTTCCCAGGAGGAAAATTTTGAAATGGAGGAAACCTTTTTTTTGGGGGGGGGGAAGCTGAGCACTCCGATTTACCAAATGGCATAGATGAGTCGAAAAGGCAGTGTGATGTGTGATGTGTGGTGCGATGTAAGGGGTTAATAACAATACATTTTATGTAGTAGCAAAAAAAGTATCTAGGTGTAATAAGAGCGCACAAAGTCCTCCATCCTTCCTCCTCCACCGCCCGATCGCTGAGCTCACCTCCAATGTAACGTTCCCTAAGTTTACCTTGAGCCTCCCCCCCCCCCCCCCCAGGAAACGTTCCTACGCCTATGTCTATAAGACATAAGCGTAGGAACCGCTATTACTTCACGTTACACAGTTTGGAAACAAATAAATGTCATGGCTGCTATGCCAGATATGCACCTATAGGTGCATCCTTCTCAATCTAACCTATTCGACTCATGTATACCATTCGGCCAAAAAGACCACCTTAAAGCCTTCTTAAATGGGTCGCCTGTTGCAACATTGCCTCCCTGGGCAGGTGAAATTCCACGAGCGGGCAGGCGTTCGGGTCATTGGGAGGCATCTGCCTGCTCAGTTTAGATGTCAAAACACGGCTGGGCTCATGTGGGCTCATGTTGGCCGGAATTGGGAGGCATCTGCCTGCTCAGTTTAGATGCCAAAACACGCTCTGGGCTCACGTGGGTTCATGTTGGCCAGAATTGGAAACTCGAATCAATGGCCCATAGCGCGTTCATTCCTTTGAGTTTGTGGAAGCCATTTCCGAACGGTTCTGGTTTCAGGTGCATGGGGTCACCAGGTGCCCTCATCGTGCAGGGGCAAACGGTGCAGTGTCATGCACCATAAATGCATCATAGCGCGTGCAATGCGTTTGCCTAGATGTCGCGACTTCGCACCCTGTTTCAACAAGTAAACTGTGACAAACCGCGAAGTTTGTTAATCTCGTACTAGCAAAATTTTAAGGTCGAAATTTGTCGCCTTTCATTCATGAGTGTTGCTTGTGTCCAGACACGAAATACGGCAGTGTTTATCAAAATGCATAAGCCTTTAAGCTAAGTCAAAACGGCTTGCAGAGCTATCTGTTAAGAACACCACTTTGCGCAATTCGTCAGGAATTTTGTCTGCAACCGTGCACCGGAACCTTTTACGCGTCATCGAATGCACTGAGACGGTCATACCCTATAACGGTGGAGAATCTTTCGCCTCCAGCCAACTGCATCTGCCGGGCCAATCAGCTACCCCAAGAACCCATCCAGAGGTGCCTGCCCCATACTGGAGTGGGGAGTCGGAACCGCTCAGACACGGCTGCGGGAGCAAGCATAAATATGGATGTGTGAGCAATGCACTGAGTTAACCACAAGGGAAACGGTACCGGCGAGCTATTTGTGGTCAACGAATATTTTCTATGCAAGCCTCCATGATGACATAAAGGTTTTTGTTTCACTATCGATATCACCGAAATCGATCCCGACGGAATCAGTTCCAGCAAGGCTCCTAGCCTTGAATCGGAATCGGGACCGACTCAGGGTGGTTCTATGCAGAGTGGGGCCCAAGTGTAAGTCAAACCCTTGCACTATTAGCGGGCATCAAAATCCATTCATAGATATTGCAACCGTACGATTACTGAAAGCTGCCTACCTGCTTAATGATATCTGTGGATCACGGCACGATCACGAACTTGGCCCATAGTCGCAGACATGGAAGGTTTCCTTTGCAAGACGTACCCGTGCCTGGGACACCTCCGGTCCCTTCCATGACCGGCAGGTGGCACGTTGACGCCGGCTGTCGCTGCTCGGCTTACGTTGGTGGCAGCGTGGTCCGACCGTGACCGTGCTGCGTGGCCTTGATCCGCCCGGCCGGGCGGCTTGGTTCCGCCCCTCCCCCTCCCCCACTCCGGCCAGCCGCCGCGCCGTGATGTCAGATGCTGGCAGCTCGCCCAGCGCAGGTGGCGCCACGGTCGCGCCGCGCCCAGCCGCTGCGCCGCCCGCCCACGGCCGGTTCTCACACAGTGACAGGGAACGGCAGTGCCGGACTAGCAACAGCGACCAGCCATGGCGGAAGGTAAGAGGGCGCTGATTCCGAGTCGGTTCTGCCCTGCGTCCCGGGTGTTTGTCGTGTGTTCCGTGGCGCAGCGGCCTGCAGCCCCGCTGCCTCCCGCCGGAGATCGCGGGGTCCAAGCCGGGGGCGAGGGCCATGGCTGCTGGCTCAGGAGCCACTCCCGCAGAAAGTACTTTCTGTTCAGCGGACGTGGAAATCAGCCTGGCTTGGTGTGGAAGTGGGTACGCGGTTTTGATACCTGTGGCGTAATTTCGATCCGCTGCATAGCTCCATTCGCGACATAATTTTCATTCACTGCGTTCGCCATGACCCGATGTGATAAGCAGCATTTTTCGAGTTCCAGCTCCCTTGCAGGTGCTTTGGCTGGTGAGAATGTTATCATCATGAAATTTCCCTGGGATATGATTCGCTGAGCCACTGCAGTTGTTGGACGCATGAGCGCGAACGCCCGCCATTGCTCGGCCATGTAGAGTACCCCAGTTGCGGGCTGTGCCACCGAACGCGACTCTCCATTGACAAAAGTGATTTCTGTTATCGGGGGCCGTCTTCTTACGTGTTATGCAGCACTATGTGGCGTAAGCAGTGAAAACACGTGGGCTAGTGCACAAGAGGATTCACATGCTTATAGGTGTCATTTGGGAAGAATTTGCCGGGCTGCGCACGCGGCCTCAGAGTTGCCGATTCGACGTGACGTCAGAGACTGAGACCGTGCCTGGACTTGGCGCCTCTGTCCTCCCTGGGATATCGCTGGGATACTGTTGGACACCGCCATGGGGCCGGCTGCTCCCCACCGCCCACGCACGGCCTCTCTCATCGCTGGGATACTGTTGGACACCGCCATGGGGTCGGCTGCTCCCCACCGCCCACGCACGGCCTCTCTCCTCCGTGGGATATCGCTGGGATACTGTTGGACACCGCCATGGGGTCGGCTGCTCCCCGCCACCCACGCACGGCCTCTCTCCTCCCTGGGATATCGCTGGGATACTGCTGGACACCGCCATGGGGTCGGCTGCTCCCCACCACTCACGCGCGGCCGGCGAATGTATGGTGCTGTACTGCCGGGTACGTTGGCGCGTTGGTTGTGTTACCGATGTGGCCGCGTACTACTCTGCTCCTGACCCCAGCACAGGAAACTCAAATAGGCTAGCTGTGTAGGGCCAAACGTGCTGCGCTGAAAACTGGGGCTAAGGATTGCCATATCCATAGCCATATCCATCTAATTCCGAAGCGACAGACTAGAGTTATGTCCTGGGGCTTGATCAAAGGCCCGACGAGACATTTTATTTCGTCTGGAAAGGCGAATTCCATGAGAGATATGCACTCTTAAATCAATGTTCGCGAACGGAGTTTTTGCCATTTTGTAATCCACGAGCGCTCCGCTTCGGTGTGCTCTCCGTTGAGCGGGACCCCGGCCTGGTCATGGAGTGTCCGGGTCGATATTTCGGGGCTGGCGGACTGCCAGCGTCGGGACGTTGCGCCTCGGCGTCCGGATCCGTACTAGTGGTGCGTTCAGGATGGTGGCCAGTTGGCCAGCGCCGCCTTCAGCTGCGTCTTGTGGTACAATCTGGACGTAGTATCCCGCGCGTGCTGCGCGACGTCCGCGTCTGTGAATCGGAGCTGTTTGATTTACTTGCAGGTCGTAGCGGCACTGCTTGCTCGTTCGCATGTACCCACGGCTGTTTGCAACAGCAGCTGGCGTCAAGTGCTATTGGCACGATTATTCATGTCCTGTTTCAGGCCTCGTAGCGGCAACTGTCATGCAGCCGCATGACGTGGTGTCGGAGACCGGCAGCCAAAGGTCGTTTGCTGCCGGCGCACACCGCACTCCTGTCGTTTCAGTGCTGAAGCATGACGATGGTGCAGTTCCAGCGCTGCATCTTTGCGAGGCTTAGTGCCGATTTGTGCGTTAGGTCACTGAAAACCAATGCCAAATACAGAAAATATCGCGTTATTTCACCGCCTTAGAAAAGGTCACCGCCCTGCTGGCCTCCTGTTCGCCAGTGAGGCCGGATCGGTGGAACTGTGACAACCACGCGGAAGAAGCCGCCATCGCGACGCTCCTGCCGCAAGGCTGTGGAATGTAGATGTATGATCGGCGGCCGTGCTTGAGCACACCTTTTGTGATGTCACCAAGGGTGAAGCTTTGCATATCAGGAGGCGCGCTCCTCCTCGCTCCCTCCAATGTTGACAATTTTACCTTTTTTTGTTTTTCGCTCAAAACACAACACAGAAAGTAGCGGGAACAAGATACTGTGAGAGGGTCTGTCTGGCGATGAGTCACCCACCGGTGGGCCGGGCTGGTCGGAACGCAGGAGGGGGGGGGGGGGGGGGGAGGAGGGGCCGCCTGACGTCATGGCCGTGGGAGCGGTGCCGTCAGGCTGTGGTCGGCCATGTCCGCCCGCCCCCGCCGCCCTGGCGGTGACCCGCCCCCGCTGTCTGAGCTCACACGCGGCTGACCGGTCGGTCGGTGCAGGAAAGGAGCGCACCCTCAAGAAGCGGGGCGCAGCAAAGGTTGGCTCCGGGGCTCTGAAGTGAACCGTTTGTTAGAGCTTGCGTGCAGGCCGCGTGGGAAAAGTGTTAAGAAAGCTGCTGAAAATGAATGGAAAATGAATGGCGTTGGCGGAGCACTGCACCAGGTTGCGCTTGAGAAACGCACCGCTGTCGTGTAGATTTTATATTACCGATTGTGTGGAGTGCGTAAGATCCACGACTGTGATATTGCCCTTTGACTGTCAGCGGGCCTGGTCGCCTGTCTCCCAACCTTAACAGTCCCTTTATGAGATATCTGGCACCGCTGTGTTGTACCGCTCTGGCCCAGCATCGTGTCGCGTAATGGCCGGCTGGCACGTGGCCGTGTTTGGTACAGCTTACTCCTTTGACACGACGCCCTGCGCGTAATGGCCGGCTGGCACGTGGCCGTGTTTGGTACAGCTTACTCCTTTGACACGACGCCCTGCGCGTAATGGCCGGCTGGCACGTGGCCGTGTTTGGTACAGCTTACTCCTTTGACACGACGCCCCGCCAATACGCGACCCATTGCCGCCGGTCGATAACGCTGAGAAATGCTGCGCGACAAACCTGTCGGGACAGGTACTTCTCAACGGAAAACGTGGACGCGGAAACCTAGGGATCAGGGGAGGCTGCGCCCCACATCTTTCTGGGAATTTAAAACTGGCCTCGTGGGTGCGGGTTGGACAGAAATTACCAAAAATGGCTGTGGCCCTTCCGCCCCCAGACTGCGAGGACGCGCATTACCCTTGACAAATGTTGAACTGTCGCCAATTCAGGTAAAGCTGACGCTGAGCACGTCCCATACATGGTGCGGCCGGTACCTGTTGGACGCCCGGTGCCGGGTCCTGCACAGTCCGTGGCAGTGCTCGGCGCGCCTGTGACCGCTGCGTCCCCCCCCCCTTGCAGACGAGTGTTGCGTGGAGGAGTGCTCCCTCCATGAGACGGACGCCAACCACGCCTACCGCTTCCGGCCGGTCAACGGCACGTCCACCAGCTTCAGCGTCAAGTGCCACAACGACGCGCACGTCTGCCTGAGCCCGGTCGAGTACGAGACCGACTCCATGCTGCAGATCTTCATCGGCGGCTGGAAGAACTCCCAGAGCGGCATGCGACTGGGCAAAGGTGAGGCCGGCCCGCCGGCCGGACGCCGTCGGCGGCGAAAGCACGAACGGTCGCAGTACTAGCGATGAAGCGTGACTATGCAGACTCGCGACGGCGCTGGGTTGTTGAGCTGCCCGCGCTTCCGTGGCACCCAACCAAACGATGGGATGGGGTTTTGTTTGGGACAGATCGGTGTGTGATTCACCAGCGCACGGCCCGTGTGTGGCCACAGAGGCGGGCGCCGCAGGTTTTGGCTTACTGACGACTGAACCGTTGCATTAAAAGGTACCACGCGGCGCGGATATTCACGAGTAACAAAGAGCACGGTTTGGTAGTGGGTCTTCTCCATTTAGAACAAATCATTTCCTGATTGCCCGTGTTCGCCCGGTAGTGTATCTGCATCAAACTCACTACAAGCGAATATTTCGTTCAGCGCATTGGAAGTGACATAGCGAATAAGAAGGCACGACACCGCCAGGGTAGTGGATTACGAACCAAAAATAACGCGCGCTCTATTAAGAGACCATCAGCTTCAAACCACTGGAAGTCAGTGTTACGAGGCGAGGCTTAAGCCGCGATGGACGAGTCCTTATGTTACGCTGCGCCACTCTGCGCCTGGGTGCGCCTGCTAGCCGTGTCCAGTGGCCCTACGGACGTCATCCAGCTCACGTGATGACGTGTGATGATGTGATCACCAGACGAGGACGTGGCGCGCGTGGACACGCCGGACATCGTGTGCGAGGACGAATTCCGGACCTTCTGGGTCAGCTGGGACGACGGCCACGTCAAGGTATGCAGTGCTCGGCAGCAGCTGGTTCTGATCTCGGCGGGCAGGCACGTGCTTGACTTGTGGTCGGAACTGCACCCTGACATGTTATGAGTTCTCCCGATGAGCCCTGAGGTCGTTGTCGGCATCGTGGGCGCGGCGACGGAGAGAGTCTGGAGGGGACATGTCACCAAAATGTTGCCAGAATGAGATTTCTTTCCAAATATTGCTTTGTGGAATGCATGTTCGCAAACGTGCCACGTAATAGTGTGTCGTGCATTACGGAAATATCTGTCACACGACTTAGACACGACAGCACGCCCGCACTGACCACGTGTCGTGAGCTGAGCGTTTTTATCTGCGTGCGTATTCGTTGGTGGTCTGAGTGCGACGTGCCACGCCGGCGCGTTCTGCACTGCAACTATGCAGCTTAGCATGCCTCCCAATGTTTACCAGAAGAAAATGCAAACAAACACGCCAGGGCTGTACTGTTGGCAAGCTGGGTACGGAAACCCGAGCAAATACAACGTCACACCGCATCACGATATGTTCACGACTTCAGTTATGCTGGTTTCTTGTACTGGCATTTTGCTCTGACTCCGGGTGAATTACGCTGTGCTGGCGGCGTGCCTCGCGGACACAAAGAATCCTCGCCCAGGCACCGGAACGCCTGGCCACGCTGAGGCTCTGGCAGGAGGATCGCGGAGAACTGCTGGACCAGCAGATTTATGTTTTTAGTCTTGTGCCTGGAGAATTGGATGCCATTGTTTATAAACAGCGATGATAAAAACAAGTTTTGCCCCCGCTGCAAACTTATCGGAGGTCGCCAGAGCTGCTAGAGCGCCAGATTTGCAGTGGCGCAGCGTCACTGGTTTTGTTCAGCGCCGGTGGTCAGGCGCATGCCTCCCATTATACCAGGTACATCGTATGCGATATCGATTGTCAGCTGGTGGGGATCTGACGATGTGGGTCGTGAAGCGGGTTTGGTCAGTGGTGTCCGTGTGGTCAGCTATCTGCAGTGGTATGGTCGGCTGGTTTCAGTGTGAGGGTCCCCTGGCTGCAATGTTGTGGTCGGTTGACAACGGTGACGTTGTCAATGACCGTGTCGTATTGTTCGGTTCAGATGATGTCAGCTGGTGTCAGCTGATCACTCTGTCATAGTCGGTCAGTGGCAGTGTTATGGCCAGCTGATGACAGTGCGGTGGCCAGCTGGTGACATTGTTATGGCCAGCTAGTGTCATGGTTATGGCCAGCTAGTGACATTGTTATGGCCAGCTGGTGACAATGTTCTGGCCAGCTGGTGTCAGTACAGTGGCCAGCTGTGTTCCACGACATGAGCGCTACAGCCAAAACACCACCCAGCGGGTGATGCGTGCCCCGTCGGCGGCAGGTGAGCCACGGCAGCGACATGGACCCGTTCATGGAGTGGCGCAGCTCGCAGCCGCTGGCCGTCGGCTACCTCGGCTACACCACCGGATGGGGCAGCACCGGCGAGTGGAAGTTCCACGGTTAGTGGCCACCGCACCAGCGGGCTAGCGCCAGCTGAACTTAGTGCATTCGTCTACAGCACAGCAATTTGGCTACCAGTCACTAACGACAAAGTCATATCGATCCGGTCGCGAATTGAACCAGCGTAACTGCCCCGGAATGGCTCGAAATTCAGACGGGTTCGAACACTGTCATTGTATTACAGCGTGTGGTGCTCTGAATGGTTGATTTCACTTTTAACGTTACCCGAAATGACCATAGTGGCAACGGGTATCGATTTGTACTCTTTCGTGAGGGCCCTGACCCCCCCCCCCCAATGTTTTTGGCTGGAATACTACAAAAAAACGTGGGTAAAAGATTATCATAGCACCAAGGCTATCTTTTTTGATCCTTGTGCGTAGTGACGCTTTGCACCACTCTCATAACAAAAAGTCATGATACAACCGCAAGATACAAATCGTAACAGCTGAGCGGATAAACGATGCAGTGAAGTTCGCATACCTAGCGCCATAAGACACACAATGGTTTGTGAGGTTAAAGTGAAAAACTCTGGAATATGGGGATGACCCAAGTCCTCCATGGCTAATCCCGTCCTTGTCCTCCACAACCAAAGTACGTGCCACCTCCCATGACCGCCATAGAAGAGCGCCATCGGCGCCCTAAGATGGCCTTCACGTGCCGATCAGAAGAGAACGTGCGTCCAGTGCCTGCTCCCTTGGACTAAATCCGGTGGGGAAAAAACGGGGGGGGGGATTTGCCGGGCCTTTGGTTCGGCCCCCCAATAGTTGAAAAAGTGGCACCCCTGATAGTAGTCAGCGCAGCCTTCAATCATTATCATCATCCAACATCATAGGGCTAAACTGTAATAATCTTCCTTTGGCTGTGGAGGTTACTGCTCGTAAATCTGCCTCCCCATCGGACATGTGACAGAACGAATAAATGGCGGCTACCCGTCATACGTGTTTATACGCTGGTACGTGTGTTGTGCTGATAATTCTGATCTTGCTGTGTAAATACTAGAGCGGTTTGAGATAGCAACCGTAGATTAATCGAATCCTGAGAGGGGAGCGGCGCGCTCTTGATGGATGGTGATCTTACAGCCATTAACTGCAGGTCCAGGAATTTAGGCCAGCACGTAAAAAAATGTTTATTTAAACTTTGTATGTAGTGTGCGAGATATTTCGGGTGCAAGGGTTGCAGTAGGCACGTTTTGCCCCACAATATTGCTATGTATTCAAAATTTGACGTTCCACACTCCTGTAATGAAAGGATCAGAGCATTCTCAACAAGGCAAGCTTCCAAATACGGACCATACGGGTCGAAATGGGGGCCCCTTGGCCCCGGGACCCTTAGCCTGGACCCGCGACCCGAATATCCGTGGCCGGAGACCCCGTTGCACCAGCACGGGATCACAACACTTCGTATAATTCAAGAGCAAACAACCTTATGTCACAGGCATGCGTCATTACGAGCAACGGAACAGCGCACGTAACTTGAACCGTCATTGATCTGTTGACAGATTTTTGCTTGCGTGAACATGACATCATGTCAATTGGGGCATGTGAAGATTCGTCTCCACCTACGCAGTATCAGGCAACATTCCCTCTACACATGATGTCTTTCCAGCTAAACACTCACCAACCCTCTCCAACTAATGCTATCCTAATTCCTTACGACTGGAACAGCATTGGTTGACCGGGTGGTGCCCAGTTAAATCTGCTTGGAGTGGTCTCGTACTGGGTTATTTAGGCTTGAGCCAAAAGGGATGGGGCCGTGAGGACCGTACGAGCTTGCAGACAGCGGTGGAGTTACTGAAATTTGGTTGGGGAGGAAGGGCCTCTGTCCTGGCCTGATAAACCTCGGCACCCCAAAAACTACCTTCTCGCGTTTAGAGTTATTTGCCTCGCCACTAAGAAACAACATTAACATTGCTGTAGACTTTTCGTATATTCTGGTATTCCTTTAGCTCGTCATGAGCATGTTGTCCAGGGTAGGGAAATCGCCGTGTAATTGTTGGGGAAAAAAGCGCAAGGGCGGCGGGCTAGCCCTTTCAACTGAATGCGATCCTGCAATGTTGTTTGAGGGTGAAGAGATGCAAGTAAATTGATTATCGCGCCTTACCACCATATATATATATATATATATATATATATATATATATATATATATATATATATATATATATATGTATATATTGTATAACATAATATATGACGTATTATATGTACTGGCAGTGAGCTTTTCATATCAAGTCCAGGAAATCTTTCGTCGTGTGATATTGTATTTTTCCAGCTGTCCTGTTGTCGTGTGCAGAGAAGTCGTGTTGTGTCCTGATGTGTCCTCTTGTGCCCTGACGATGATAAACAATTGTTTCGAAATGTTGACGACTTACGTGAATGATAGCGGCCGCTGCCCTGACCTAGTTTTTATTGCTTATATATATATATATATATATATATATATACACTTGTATCTCGCTGTCCTGACCAAGTTTTTACTGCTTCTATATATATATATATATATATATATATATATATACACTTGTGTCTCAATTTAGTTGATTCGACTCTGGGCTCTATGCGCCCATAATATCTGCACTTTTGCTCCACTTTCGTCATAATAATTTCAAACGTGAGTCAGTCGAAATGCATTGTTTCATCCATTCGCTGCTGAAATGGCCAGCTGCGTCACTATTCAGTTCTTGCTGCTCAGTTTTGGTTGTGAATTAGCTACAACAGTAAATCTCATCACTATACTTACTGGTAAGGCTTCATGCAACGCCTCGATGTTGTGTTTACACGAATTTTCTCATCACGTGCTAATCCACCATTTCGACAACATTCGCATGAAATGACCATTTCGGAATGCACACTTTCCCAATGAAGTTATTCTGCGCTGCGCTGGTAGCCTCTGTGTCCGCTGGCCGACCTGACCTGAGCGCTGCTTCCCCTGTCGGCGCACCCGCAGACGAGGCGCTGTTCGAGAGCCACTGCGACTGCCCGTACCACTTCCGCGCGGTGCACGGATCGTCCATCACCTTCAGCGTCCAGAGTAGCAACGACGCCCACCTGGCGCTGACGGCCGGCCCCGAGGTGTCGGCGCCCATGTACGAGATCTTCATCGGCGGCTGGAGCAACAGCAAGTCTGCCATCCGCCACACCCAGGGTGAGCGGCAGTCGGCCACACACGCGAGCCGCTCGCAAGGCGCGCTGACGTTGGGCAGGGCGAGAAAGCAACGGTGGAGGCGAGGACATAGGGGTAAAAGGCGCCTTCAAAGACAGACCTTATCTCCCAACTCCGTTTATGCAAAGCTGAGAGCTGAATCTTGTCATACCACGGGGTTAGCATCGCTCCAGCTCCGGTCTTAAATAGCAGCTTAAATAATCAGCGTGCGTCCCAGGTGATACGCTCAGCGTACCACCATCTACCGCCAGAGCTGGATGGCCTTGACGTCACAAAAAAGCAGTGCCCCAGGTAAGCCTTCTGCATCCCTTTATGCTGTATTTATACTTACCGCAGTTGCCGGTGGTTAAAGGCATCATGATTGCCGGTGGTTAAGGGCCCGCGGACGTTAGTTAAACAACTGTCGGTGCGCACGAAGTGGAGAACTCCAAGAGTTTTCAACGTGGCCTACTTCCCGAACAATCTATGCAACATAGTTTGGACCCTGTCCACGAAAAAGTAAGTCGTATAACTCGTATTACCAATGGGCGTAACCTCCACTGAGTCGGTAAGGTCAGGATCCTACTAACGTTTGGGTTAGTTGAGCTATGTTTGTACTCGCCCGTAGACGACAGCATGAAGGCAGATCAGGCTCAGCCACCGTCAGCGTGACGTATGGCCACTGGTAATACTTACCTGCTGGATTGAGGGGTAAGATATTTGCGGAGGGCAATGCCCAACCCCCCCCCCCTGCCATTTCCTGTTCAGCTCCGCATGGTCTTTGGACGCTATGATCCTTTTGTCCATCAGCTCGGATTCTTGCAGGCGATAATTCAGCGATTCCTTTTCCATTAAGTGCATAATCTCACTGCACATAGCGTGCGATGTCTGAAGAATGGGACATTTCTAAGTTACTGAACCCAGACATTTCATTCCATAGGATCTGTTCTACCTAAAAGCTCTCCAACTTAAGTGTTTCTATGAGAAAGCAAAATTGACATTCCAAAGAGTATTCTTTATTCCAAAGCGATGCAAAATAATGCGGATACCGTCCGTTTGTACTTCCCATATCAGCTGGCCCACCGTGCCACCACGCAATGGTCACAAGTGGTGCCATGTTTTGTACTATTCCGCGGGTGCACTGCGCCATATGTTAGATGTTATAGCTGAAGTTCGAGCAGTTTTGATGATATATATATATATATATATATATATATATATATATATCATATGCGTGATTGTTGGTAATTGTTCATCGATGTCTCCCTTGACTTTAACGCCGTTTCTCATTCCCGGCAGCAATTGTGTTCGGCGAGCACATGAGCGAGGACAAGTGCATGGCGGAGACGCCAGACATCCTGTCCGCCGACGAGATGAGGTCATTCACTCTTACATGGGCCAACGGCCACATCAAGGTCTTCATCCAGGGCGACCCGAACCCTTTCCTGGCGTGGGAGGACCCCGACCCAATCACGGTAAGTGGGGCCAAGCAAGCGCTTCTGTAGGCGCTGTCAGCATTACGTGTCGCTTGGTGCATCATAATAGGACCCTGGATAAAAACATGGTCTTGGGTAGTTCACGCAAGTCCGCCAGGTGGAAACACCGCCGCCCGTGGGCATTGGTAACTCCGTAACGGTCACGTGGCCGCCACGGTCACGTGACCACCGAGGTGTGGCGGGCAGCTGATACCGCGGCCCGTCTCATGCATGGTGCGCATGTAAGCCAGCTTTGGCCCTGTTTGGTAATCACCTCCTCACGAAATGTGAGGGAAGCAGGCAGCAAGACAGGGAGAACATGTGGAGGGGGTGCAAATTTTCAGCTCAGCTTAGACGAGCTGATAGCCTCGATAACAATGACACGTCCAAAATTGTGCGGGTCGTGCAGCCCTGCCTGTCAGTGTTGCGTGATTAAGAAGCGATGTGCGCTGTCGGGCAGTGATGGCGCCCGTCGGACTGGATGCCGCTGTCAGTGTGGCCAGTCCGCAACTCCAACCCTCGGTGGCTGACCAGCTGACGTCCCGTCCCTCCAGGTGACGCACTTCGGTTACCGCACCAAGCAGGGCGCTGACGGCAAGTGGCGCTTCGAGGTGTGAGCGGGCCGGCCGCTTGAAAAGCTGTGCATCACGCGCCGCCGACTTCCTGGGCGGTTTGTCCCGCGTCGCCAGCCTCTGGGGCAGTCTGCCCGCGTCGCCGGCCTCCCGGGCAGTCTGTCCCGCTCCTCTGACCTCTCGGGCAGTCCGCCCTGCTCCTCTGGCCTCCCAGGCAGGCTCTGCAACTCGCCGCGTGCAGCTGCTGTTGCGTTGAGTTCATTACCGTCACGCTTGGTGCTTCCTTTTCGCCATCAGCATCGCGTCGCCGTTGGGGTGCAGTTTGTTGCCACTGTAGGTCGGGTGCCGGGTTCTGATACTGATATGCGCTGGAAATCATTGCGTTCAGATCTGAAGTCTGCTAACCGATTTCTTGTGCAAGGGGTTGGTTTCCTGTCGAAGTCGAAGTGCATGCGAGTTATTTAATGGCGTAACCGGGAACAGTGCTTTGTGGAATTGTCGACGTGTTTGAATCTCACTCCAAGCTGCTGACGAATCTCGTTTTTGGACCAGAAAGCGGTACTCGCTTGCACCGCAACTGTTGCTTGAGTCAGTTCAATAAAAACTAGTCCTTTTGACCTTCGTGTGTTTTGATTTATCGTGTGCGAGCGAGACCATCGGGCATCTTGTCGGTAATGTCATCGACACCAATCCACACTACACTACACAGGGAAGCCGTCGAAAGGTGACCACCTGAAACTGCGCGATCGACACACGCACCCTCTGAGACCCGTAACACAAGTCACTTTAGTGAACGGTTCATGCACTGTAATACATCTGGTAAGACATTTGCACCACACCTTGAGAGTTTTAACAAAGCAACATTTATAACTTATTGCATAGCCATTCGCCTTGCTGACTAGAATCAAGTCATGTGACCACACCATTCGCACTGAAACACGCTTGCACATAGTGGCGCTGATATCCCTGTGACATATATCCTTCATAGTGATAAGCATCCATCCTCCTGCGGGCTTCCCAACAGGCTTCACATTCACTTGGCAATGTCCAGGCGCTCCCGTTCCGTATTCCACATTCACTGCACGCGACCCTCAACAGCCAGTGGCTTTCGCCCTCGAGGCAGTGGTGGGTTCGGAATACTGGTTTTGTTCACAGACCTTGGTCCACTGCGCACTTGGTCGCATCATGACGGGCGCCCTCGAAGGCGCCGTCCCAGGAGCACCGACAGCCCGGCGCGCCTGTTATGGCTATCATATCACAATGCGTGGGCGGGCGAACCGACGCGGGCTCGCCGAGCGCGGGGATGTTGCGACGGTCGCCGCCGGAGGGCAGGGCAGTGCAGGGCGGGCCGCGCGCAGCCACCTGACGCCGGCCGCTCGCCGCACAGACGGCGGCAGCCGGCGCTGTCGGCGCGGAATCCGCCCGGAGACGGGCGCCGGCGCCGCCGCCGGCCCGGACAGCGGCCGGTCAGCTGCTCCGCCAACGCGAGCGACGCTGCGCGGCCGGCGGGCCGGGGAGGTCGGCTCAGTCGTCGGCGGGCCCGGGCGCGGCTCACCGGCCCCGGCGCGGCTCACAGGCCCCGGCGCGGCTCACCGGCCCCGGCGCGGCTCACCGGCCCCGGTGCGGCTCACCGGCCCCGGTGCGGCCCACCGGCCCCGGTGCGGCTCACAGGCCCGGGCGCGGCTCACCGGCCCCGGCGCGGCTCACCGGCCCCGGCGCGGCTCACCGGCCCCGGTACGGCTCACCGTCCCCGGCGCGGCTCACCGGCCCCGGCGCCAGCTGGGGGACGGCCCCACGACCGTGTTACCGCTGCGGGCAGCGGTGCGGCGGCACGCAGCCGCCGTCGTGCCACAGCTGGCCGTCGGGGCAGGCGCAAGTCCGACGACACGCGTCCGAGCTGCAGCCGTCGGCCGGCGGCTGCGGTACAGCGCAGCTCGGCTGACAGGCGGAGCTGCAGCCGGCAGACGATCCAACTCCCGTGCACTGCGGCGGCTCTGGAACAGAACGGGCCGCCCTGACTGGGTATCCGCGCGACGGCCCGCGCGGGCGACAGGGTGGACAGCCTGGCGCGGGCGACAGGGTGGACAGTCTGGCGCGGGCGACAGGGTGGACAGTCTGGCAGCAATTGCCTGCTCGTTCAGCTCAGTTGTGGTAACTTAGCTCAGCTCAGGGCCAGTCGCCGGCGGTGCCTGAATTCTACGCCCTGATCATAGGCAGCGCGGCCACCCGGAACCTTTTCGCACATGCAACAGCGTGAACCAGCCGGCCGGCCGGCGGTGGCCGCGGCCGCCCGCCAGGTGGCAGCAGCATACCTGCGCAGTCTGTGCCGTTCAGCCAATGCACGGGAACGCCGACGCGCTGGCAGGCGTGCGAGTAGGCGGTGAGCGCCTCACAGTAGCAGCTGCGCTTCTGATCGCACTCGCACATGTCCTGCACACACGACCTGGCGGCGGACAGGCGCGGGCCGCTCAGCGCTTGACGGGGCGCGGGAAAGGGGCTCACATGGTCAGCAATCATTCGAAGAAAGGAGAAACTGTGGGCTCAAAAAGCGACTTCAATTTACACGCAGATCGATACATTTCAACCGCCACACGGTGTCGTGGTAACCTCACGCTACTGAAACGTTAATACGACGATGATGACATACGGGTGAATGATGAACAATGGTGAGCTGGTGTATCATCAGCACGTGCGCATGGCACACCGGTGCACGAGCACAAGTTTTGACCGGACACACACGGGTAGACCGGAAAACAGGTAGATCGGAAGCCCGGTTTAACCTGATAGACCAGGCCCGTGCCATGTCACGGATCCCTCCCAGCTGCCGCTCTCACTTGAAGTATGAAGCCGGGTGAACCTTGGCGTGGCAGTCGCCGAAGGCCGCCGCCTTGAGTCGGTTGCACTGGCGCACGGCGGTGGCGCGCGCCGCCCGGTCGCCGGCGCACGGGCGCGGCTGACGCTTCCGCTGGCGCCGGAACTGGCGCCGCGGCGCCGAGCAGTGGGAGCGACCTGCGCGAGAGAGCGGACGGCACGTCACGGCGCCAGCTGGCGCGCGCCCCTACACTTGGGAAGTGCTGGGTGTGATAGTGGATGGATGACGTCATGACCAGTGCACGTGGGCAGACTAAATAGACTGAAGAGAATATGGACGCTAACCTGAAAACGAGCGTGAGCTTGAACCGCATTGCACGATGACCCGCTCACCTCCTACTTTCCACGACCGAGCGAATCGTTTGGTGAGTTTGACCAGCCGTCCGCGCTTGGTGATGAAGTCGTCTGTCTTGTTTCCGTTGTAGTTGCCGCACAGACCGCACATCTTACCCTTGTATTTCGGCGGCACCCGCACTTGCAGGAAGCTATCGCCGTCCCAAATCACGCTGACTCCTGGGGAAGACGGTGAGACCGTAAGCCGCGGCATTAATCACGGAACGAAAACACGAGACCTCAGTGTGCATGGTGTGCTTTCCCTTCGTGCCATTCTCGAGCCTTGAGTTAATGACCAGCAAGGTTGCATTTTTTCGAAGTGAGATCATGAACAGGAGTGGGGCTTCTTTTCCCTTTGTGGGTTTCTTGAGAACGATAATCCTGGGATGGGCATCCGCAACAGACTTCGGCCATCCACAGCCTCAAAGGCGCTGAAACATAAATTTGCCTATCAGCATTTGGCGTCATTGAATTTTGATGTTCAGTGATTGGTTTAAATCAAGCACAGCTCACAACCAATCTTGTTGAAGCGCTAAATATACAAAAGCATTCGATACGTGGTTCAAGCCCAGTGGTTCCCGAAGCGCCGAAAAATACGCATTACAGGTCACAAGAGTATCCAGAAAGCTATGCATCCGAGGGCGCTCTCCTTTGAGTACCACACTACCGTTGCGCGCCAGAGAAGCGCTTCGGTGTCGACCAGCACAAAGCTACTGTCCAGTAAGCCAGCCGGAATGCGAGCCTCTATTTGGGGTCATATGAGCCCAAAATATATTTTGGGAAAACACGCCATAATACCGACCGCCCGAAAGTCGTTAACGCCGGGTGTTCAGGACACCAGTCATCAAAAACCACTACCGTCTATAGATACTCCAGACTTTGAGGGACCCACAAATTCACAATGGTACCGAAACGGTCGTTTTTCAGAGTCATGACCCATAGAGAAAGTATAGGATTAAAGATGTCAAGAGGGCCAAGCACAATCGGGGAGGTCCGAGACCGCGATGGGTCACCTTGATGGTCAAAGGACCTTCATTGTAATGAGTGTGGGCCCAAAAAATCTTCCAGAGAGTTGAAGTGTGTCAGATGCCCCTGAAGCGATCAAGAGACGCATATCTCCTTCCAAGCGCTGCTCAAGACCATGCGCCGACGGGTTGTGAAAATGATGATGCCATGCAAACGGTAGACGTAGAAACAAAGGAAAACTTTGGGACGCGACATCTCCAAATCTTGTGAAGAAAACAAGGCATTAAGAAGACTATGCCTTACCGGAAAAGTTTTCACATTTGACTTTCCCCAGACCGAGCAGAAATCTGATCCCTAAAAAAATGACGAAATGTCTGCATGTGTGCGCTTCATCTTCGTTGTGCTTCACCTTGTAAAGCTACGGGTTTAAGTGATCGCAAAAGAAAGAGCTACTCTGCGCTACTCGCCCAGCGTATGGCAGGTGTTGCAGGAGCTGGGTATGCCAAAAATATGCTTCAAGTTCATGTGGAGAAAATTGCGACGCACTCTGCCAGGTCATACTGTATGCTTGCTCTCGTACGGAGCTTTCTGTTTAAGCTGTAGTAATCCTCCACACGGTTTTGCTTTGAGCATAAAGCTTTGGTCTAATACGAACCCAACGGGAGCCAAGCAGTGTCTGGGGTTCTGTCATGACTTCCACGGTTTATTCTAAAGCCTGCTGGTCGACGGTAAGATGCAGAAGTGGTAATGTTTCAGGTGCTAGCGCCTTTTGGCTTGAATGCTACTAACAGAAATTAAAGTTCACCTCGCGTTCTGAGAAATGGGAAATTTGAGGACGTGTTCGGTAGGCCCGATTCTTTTCGTACTGAAATGTTGGAAAAATTTACAATGTTAAGTGAAACGACGACTTTAAAATATCTACCATAGGAAGCAGAAGCGTATGCATCAACTTTGCACACATCTGACTCAAACACAATTTGATCACTGTCCACAAACTGGAAGCGAACATTCAGAGGGGCTGCAATCAACATAACGGTTGAATTTCCTTACCAACAGAACGGAGCTTCACCAAGACATTATAATTGTCTGCAGGGTCTTGGACTATCGCCACATGACCCACTTTCAGGTAAGGCAGGGTGACAGTCTTGCGGTTGATCTTCACTTCTTTCTTTGGGCGCAGAGCTATCCTTAAATCGCCAATCTAGAAACATATTTCATATTAAATTATCAGTCGCGTTTGAGGCTTTGACTTTTTAATGAAAAAACAAAATGCCAAGCACGACTTTTCCATTCTCATCGCGAGACTTTTATAGTTGTGAAAACGTGGATGTTTTATCTCAAGTGCCCGAGTAGTAAGACGTGCTACGCCAGTGTGTATAACTGCTCATACATTCCTCGAATTGTTAAAAAAGCAAAACTGCCTACGATTTGGAGCAATCTCGAGGCCGTGACGTTAGCAAAATCTCGTATTCAAGCTCACATTTGCCGCCTGACAGTGGCCGAGGACGTGGCGGCGATGTGCGTACCGCCTGACAGTGGCCGAGGACGTGGCGGCGATGTGCGTACCGCCTGACAGTGGCCGAGGACGTGGCGGCGATGTGCGTACCGCCTGACAGTGGCCGAGGACGTGGCGGCGATGTGCGTACCTTGATGGAGGCGGACCGCGTCCAGCTGAAGAAGCGGCTGTTGCGCGGGTCATTATGCACGCGTATCGAGAACGTCTTATCAGCGCAGTCCTTGGCCAGCTGGTACTTGCACGTGCCCTGGTAGTTGTATATCTTCCCGTCAAATGTGCTGTAGTGAGGATCACCGAAAACCTGGAAATGGTAATGTCCTGTTATGTTAATCCCATCAAAACACATTTTGAAAGCAAAATGCTCACCTCTCAAATCGTCTCAATTAGCCCCCCCCCCCAAAAAAAAAGGCTTAGGCTGACGTTTGTCCCAATGCCTTTCTTAAGCAGCCCCTGTCACAATTTGCCAATCAGCCAACCATGGGCCTGCAAGACTGACCTGTATGTCCAACCCGTCCGGCTGATCCATGACTCAGGCGTTCAGGTTGCCGCCCGGCACCCGGCGCAACACTCCGACCTGCCCCCTCCAGACCTCTCACAACACAGACGGCGTCCTCACCACCAGGCAACCAGGCTCCTCCGAACACCCTGGCTCTTCCAGTCCCCTGGCCGTGCGGGCACGTCCCCCCGCCGCGTGCAGCACCCCGGCTACCCCAGCACCACCTCACCTCCAGTCCCCCTCCCCTCCCCCTCAGCGCACAGGCGGCGTCCCGCATGCCCGTCCTCACCAGGGGCGTACGCAGGATTTTACAATGCGGGGGAAAATACCTGAAAATTTTCGCCAGATAACCAAGTCTAGGGCACTGCAAGTGCGCGCAATTTCTTGTGTGTAATAAACGACATCGTTTTCTATCCTATTTTTACGTGTCTTCCTGAAATTTCTCCACCACGCGCATATTAATGCATGCCATAAACCTGGTAAGGGGAGGGGACGTGTCCCCGGGGACTACTACGTGCGTACGCCCCTGGTCAGCACATCGGCCCCTCTCGTCACCCCGCCCTCTCACCGCGTCCCCCTCACTCCCTCAGCCCCATCTCCTTAGCCCCCTCACCGTGCAGACGGCGTCGTCTTCGACGCACTGTTTGCAGCAGCGACCGGCTAGCTTGGCCGGGTGCCAGCCGGGACCGCACTGCGGTTCGTTCTCGCACGACTCCATCTCGCAGCTGATCCGCCCGTGCGTGCAGTTGCACGTGATGCAGGGGGTCAGCTGCCACGTGTCGCCGTCCTGCCGCCGGCGAGCCAGGCGTGAGTGGACGGTGGGCACGTGCACAGTGAAGGCAAACGGCGAAGAACGTCCTCGGCAGTGTTGCATGCAACGGTGTGTATGTACAGCAGCTGACGCGTGAGGCGCGGGATGCGTGTGGCTGTAGACAAGTGCGACTGTGGACAAGTACGGCTGTGGACAAGTGCGACTGTGGACAAGTGCAACTGCGCATAAGTGCGAATGTGGACACGTGCGTTTGTGGATACATGCGACTGTCGACACGCGCGACTGTGGACAAGTGCGATTATGGGCAAGTGCGACTGTGGACAAGTGCGATTATGGGCAAGTGCGACTGTGGACAAGTGCGGCTGGCCGTGGGCAAGTGCGATTGTGTTCAAATGCGAATGTGTACACGTGCGACTGTGGATGCGTGCGACTGCGGACAAGTGCGGCTGTGGACAAGTGCGGCTGTGGACAAGTGCGGCTGTGGACAAGTGCGAATTTGGCCATGTGCGTCAGCGAAGCGCTCAGCGAGCGCCGCTCGTCACTGGCCGGTACTGCAAGTACCGACACGCCCACGGCTAGGTCCCGCTCCTTTTCTGACTGGTTCCTGGGCCGATAGGGGCTAACAGAGCGAGCATCAAACCTTTGATAAATTGTACGCTGTTGCTTGTGAAAAGTGGAATGAAAGCGACGCAACATTGCTACTGAGCCATCAACGCTGGATAGCTCGCGCACAAATCGGGCAGGGCCCGTCACGCGAGCTGCTGGTAGGTGCGGCCACAGCACAGGCGCATGCTTCGCTATTTGTGTGGTATACAAGTCTCAGCCCAAACTTAATGACCAAGCATGGGTGTGCTTAATGAATACTGATGTTTGTAAAGTACACGGTTTTCCTCAGGACAAACGTGGATAGCTTTCTTGACAGAACGGCCGTCATATGCATTGACTGGTGAATGGCTAAAAAGTGTGTTGATTTGCATTGTATCGTGCACTTCTGTGACCCTTCCCAGGCAAAACGCAAGATTTTTGCTTGATCTGGAGAAATATTTAGAACATCGAAGGAGCAGAACGAACTTTCGCGTCCCCAACAGGTCAGGAGTCACGAGGAGCTCGATGGACTGCGATACATACGTCGATGCTTCTAACACTGACAAGGGTCAAGCGACGTCGCTTCTTCGCGGCGCACACATCTCGCACTGGTCGCACCTGGTACTGGCGGCGCATATGACGGCAGACGCTGCGCACCGGCTCCGGCGCGCGGCACACCGGGCAGCACCTGCCCGGCTGGTGCAGCTGCAGGTGCCGCTGGCACGCCAGCTGCGGGCAGCTGGTGCGCTGGCACACGCTGGTCGAGCCCTGGCAGGTGCAGTTGGTGCACGGATCCGGCGAGAACTGCTGGCCGGAGTCGTAGAGCCGTTTGCCCATCTGGCAGCCCGGTGAGCCGGGCGTGACGCGCCGGTGGCCTGCCAACGCGCCGCGTGACGTCAGCGAGCCGACTGCCGGAAGCCGTGGGCGGTCAGCCTTGGGGCAGCGCTGCAGGCGACCGGATGGCGTCCCACTCAAAGGCCTTTGATGCGAGAGCCACCGTCTTCAGCGCGGCAGGCTGGTGTGGGGGCGATAATGGACGGAGTTTCGCGGCTCAAGCAAGTCTGCACGTGCTCGACAAGGCTCTTCATTGGAGGCCAAGTAGGTTGGATAGATAGTGACGACCTGATGGGCATTACTGGCCTTCCCAGACGGTGACGGAGTCCGTGATGGTCAACCGTTTGGCAAAGACCCAAAGGTCAGAGCTGGGTGATCTGCCGGCTCCGCACTGTCTGTGCCCGCGGACAGAGCATTTGACGCAGACGCCACACAGGCAGCAGCCAGCCATACGGGAAGCATGTGAGCACCATGGGCATAACAGCCGTTAGTCGCATCAGAAGCTGGCGGAGGGGATCCGACAGTCAGCAGAAGAAGGGGATCCGATCGGATCCCCATCCGACGGAAGGGGATCCGGCAGTCAGCGCTGACATCCTGCCTCACCTGTGCACCGGGGACAGCACTGGTCTGGCTCCTGGTGAGTCTCGGACGCCAGACACGAGAGAGCGGGGCACAGGCGGCGCGCGCAGCTCTGCGTGCCGTCCGGGCCGCAGCGGCAGATCAGGCACGGGTCCCTCTCTGACGTCACGTTCTGAGCCGGCGGCTTGACATGACCCGAGGCTTGGCAGCCAGGACAGCGGGCGCAGCACTGCCCGGGCTCTGCCGGCAGCGGCTGGCTGCACGGCGCGTGGCACTGCGGCACAGCAGGACCTCAGGTCAACGGCGCGGGAACACAGGCCAGCTCAGCTGCGACGACAGGGCCAGGCATTGCAGCCTCACCAACACGAATTAATGTAAATACATGTGGCGTTCAACATGCTCAACAATTATCCACAAATGCGTTAACGGTAGCGCGAAAATAGATGCGGTTTTGACGGATTTAACCACACATACTAGCACAGGTTTTACCGCATACTACCAGTTTTACCAAATACAGGCCCACCACATATTAGCTTACCTTGACCTTTGACCTGGTGACAACGCCACTGTAGCAGTGGTTGAGTGTACAGGGGTCGTCGGGGTCGGGCCACTCCTCTCCGTCCGAGTACTGGCCCAGTGACGTCTGGCAACCTGCAGGCATAGACCGACAAGACGCCGTCAGCCGAGCGGTGCGGACACCCTGACGACGCCGAGCCGGCGGTGGTGGTGCCGCACCACGGCCGAGCTGGGGGTGGTGGTGCTGCACCGGGGACCGGGCTGGCGGCGGTGGTGCTGCACCGGGGACCGGGCTGGGGGTGGTGGTGCCGCACCAGGGCCGAGCTGGGGGTGGTGGTGCTGCACCAGGGCCGAGCTGGGGGTGGTGGTGCTGCACCGGGGACCGGGCTGGCGGTGGTGGTGCCGCACCAGGGCCGAGCTGGGGGTGGTGGTGCTGCACCGGGGACCGGGCTGGGGGTGGTGGTGCCGCACCAGGGCCGAGCTGGGGGTGGTGGTGCTGCACCGGGGACCGGGCTGGCGGCGGTGGTGCCGCACCAGGGCCGAGCTGGGGGTGGTGGTGCCGCACCAGGGCCGAGCTGGGGGTGGTGGTGCTGCACCAGGGCCGAGCTGGGGGTGGTGGTGCTGCACCGGGGACCGGGCTGGCGGTGGTGGTGCCGCACCAGGGCCGAGCTGGGGGTGGTGGTGCTGCACCGGGGGCCGAGCTGGCGGCAGTGGTGCCGCACCAGGGGCTTGGCCGGTGGCGGACTCTCAGATACAGAGCGAGAGTGCAGAACGCCAGGCCAAAATCAAGAGTTCTTCTCTGATCAGAGTCCCAATAAGGTGGACAGTTTCCACAGGGTGAATCACATTAAAAGGCGAAGCTCTTGTCCAGAGGCAGATGAAACCGGGTCGCGTGCCAAATTAGGTGCCGTGCCTGAGCGACGGCGGCGAGTCTAAATAACACCGCCTGCCGCGCCCTTGCCCCAGTTCAACGGACGGAAGCCCATTTCCGCCGCCCCCCAGATAGCCCGCCCGCCGGGTCACGTCACAGGCTCTCGGCAGCGTCACGACTTCCAGCTGGTGGGGCCGGCGTCGCCGCGGCCGGCGTCGCCGCGGCCCCGTAGGGCGGACACGCGGCGCAGATCGCGCAGGGGTGTGGGGCAGCGTCAGATCAGCTTGCACGCTATCGGGGAACCGTTACACTGGCTGCCCACCGGCCAAATCTGGCCGGCTGTTTGTCGATCGTGGCGCCTGGATTTCTCGCAGCCGTGGTAGCACAAGCGTCCAGGGGGCATCTGCCCGCGCCACGCCTCGTTACGCTCAGACGTAACAAGTCCCTCAAGTCCCCAAGGCCCTCAAGGCCCAGGAGAGGCCTTGCACATGGGCGCGGCCTTGCCATGTCCTTCTCACCGCAGAGCGTGCGGACGCGGCCGGGCGCCGGTGACAGCCCTCGGTGTTCCGGGCAGTGACGACCAGCGGGAGATTGAGGAGATACGCTGGCCGCCACCGCCTCGTCAGCCTTCCGGCGCACTGCTCCCGGACGGTCCGGCCGAGATGACCTCATTTCCCTCGTTCACTGACACCGCCGGGGCACTCGTGTTGCGGCGAAATTGTGTCATATGTCACTTGCCAGTACCGTGAGCTCCTATATAATGCTAGTGATCAATCAGTACCCCAGAGAAGATCAGTGAAACATTCCGGCAGCCCATGTGCAATGATAACGCATTTCACACAAAAGCCGCCCGGTTGGCCACCTTGGTGACCCGTCGTGCGCCCCCTGTGTACCTCTTGTCCGGCCTGTGTCTGTGTCCGCGGCCGGCACTGACGCAGCTGCGCAGTTGTCGGCGCCGGCGCCGGACGCGGTCACGGCGCGCGCGCCGGCTTCCGCCGCGCTGCCGCCCAGATTTCGGCAGAGAGCGGTGCCGACTGCACGTGCACAGTGCACAAACGCTGGCCGACGCCGACTGATGGCTGGGGTCAGTGTGCAGTGCATAACCCACGATGCGCTGGCGCCAGCAGCTTCCTGTCTGACGCTGGTGCCAAGGAAGGCGGTCCAAGTGCCGCACCGGCGTGGTTGCCAGTCGGAGGGCTTCCCGCCCCGCGTGGCCGGGGCGAGTGGAAGCAGCGGTCAGCTCCTGCTACGAATAACGTGTTTTGCTATTACTTGGATCTAGTTTCATTTGCAGTGCCTTACGTCCAATGCTGACAGGTGGGCGTTTCATTTCGCACAATATGACTACTTGTAATTAACATTTTTAGTTCTTGTCGTTAGGTACAATTTGGGTGAGAATGGGAGGTAAATAAAACTGTCTTAGCGCAATTCACCCTACCAAAAAAAAAAAAGATTGCTACGCAATATTTCGCCATCTGTCGCACACCCATTCGGTTCATTTGACCTTGCTTTTTTGGTCAAAACTTTTCTCCATATGATGCATAATTTCTCAATTCACTCCTATCCTCACTTTTGACTAAGTTTTGGCATCAGTACGTGAATCGGAAAGAAGTATGTCATAGTGGCATCTTCATCACGAGAGCATATTAGTCCATACCGTATTGCCCACATCCGATGTTAAGTTAACAATAGCTCAGTTCGGGTATGTATTGAATTTGAAGTCCCATGAATATGAGAATGCTATGCCCGCTTTAGGAAAGAAAAGTTGAGAAATTTGGAAATGACCATGTGGAGCATAACCTCAACCATGAGTACAACCGCCCACCGCTTAGGGACAAATAACGGCACCTAGCGGCTGGTAAACTAACGCATATAACAAAACGGAAACCGGGAATATCTAATGGTTGGAACCGACATGTCCTGCCTACGTTTTGTAGGGCAACGCTTTGAAAGCTCCTCCCCCCGACAATCCCTGCCTGTCCGTCTGTCCGTCCGTCTATAACCGGTCACTTATGAAAATGCTGAATGGTATGTTGGTAGGAGGCTCTCATGTCTGATAGTGTCTCTGATAGTGACGATCTGATAGTGTCTGATTGTTGGCAGGGAACGGCCAAGTCATTCCGCAGCCGGATGGCGCAAGCAAAGTAGCGCTGGTATGTTTGGCCTGTGTCTTTGTGGCCCGATAAACCCCTGTGTAGGTCTTACGGCTGGCCGCAGTAAGTTTGGTGGTAAGCTTATATCTACAAGGTTATGCGTCGTCTTTCAAGTTGTTTTTAATAACACCAGTCTCCCCGGTTTGGAGAGAATGATGCTTTAGGTCGTAAAACATTGAAATTACGCTGCCTGTTCTTGTTTTTGTTGCTTTTAGCTACCCTAACCGTGCATCTGCAGGCCTTCTTTGATTTCATTTGAATGTGTTTTCTGGTGTGCGTGTGTGTCCCAAACCCCTGAGGCGCGTTCTAGCTGCAATCTAGCTAAGGGATGGCAGGTACGTTGTTTCATGTTCGAAGAACATTACCTGAAGCCGCATGAAACTAATCCTTGTGGTCGTGGCGGTCCGTCGGCTCTTGTTATGTGGACGTTGGCTGACAGCTTTATTGTAAGAACGTACTCCGATAACGAAGCTCGGTGATCTTCCTTAGAAAACTGTGTCAAACGGCAGAAGTGGCGGTTACGTGATTCTGTGTCGCCGAAGTGTGAATCACGTAGCATTTGCTTACGTTAAGAGACACTCGTCACTTTGCAAGCAAGGCTGCGGGGTCTTGGGGTCTCTCTGGACATAGTCCGCGTGAGATGCTCCGTTAACGACCGGCATAGCAAGCAGTCGTCAGAAAAAAGTAATGCTGTTGGGCCTGTGCTTAGCGAATCTGGTAGGTAATTGATGTTCACCGAGAGAAGCAAAGGTCCAAGGCGCACCTTTGGGAACTCCGAAGATAAGTGGGTTAAGGTCAGATCAACTCACCTTAACGACATCTCGCTGAGTGTGGTCTGACGGAGGTTTGAGTTATTTGTAAAGAATTGTGGTCGATCTCGTAGTAATCTATTTGTTTTAAAAGTAGTTGATGCAAAACTTTCTCGAACGCCTTATTCCTTCACTTCGGTTTGGGTCAGGGCTTGTTCAGTCAGCATCAACCTATTCGGCTCTTCCTGAGATGAAGGAGAGTGGGAAGAAAGGATACGAGACTATACACATGGGAGCCTTCCGCCACCGAGACTAACCCGCACAGACACCCCTCCCCGCAGACACCCAGACAAACCCAGACACCCCTCGTGGGGATGTGTGCGGACTCTCGGGTGGACCTCCCTCCAGGAGGGGAGAGAGCATTGAACCCGTCCATGGCTGACGCATCCGGCATGGCCCGATCAGGGGACGTTGCGAAACAGCCGCGTCACTTTGTTTGCGTTTGTCTAGGCCCGTCGCAGATAAAATCATGGTCGTTGCACAACTAGTTGCACTGGATTGTTGCTGTGTTTCGTACGATGACTTTTTCCAGAACCAATGCTGGGCACCAGCCAAGGTTTAATTGTGATAGTTGATTGTACAGGTAATGCAGGTAAGCGAGACGGATTTGTGGCTGAATAGGTCAGCACTGTCGGCTTTCTTAATTACTGGGCCCGTCGGCCGTTTTCCAGCCATCGGGAGAGATCCACTGGCTCAGTGACTGTCGTGATAAAAGAGGTTTTGGCGTGACATATCAAAAGTATGAAGGCTTAACCCTCGCTTGGCCGGGAGTCTGAGACATCCGCGCCCCACCGGGAGTCTAAGACATCTGTGCCTGGCCGGGAGTCTGAGACACCCGCGCCCGGCCGAGGGTCTGAGACATATGCGCCCGGGTGGGAGTCTGAGACACCCGCGCCTGGCCGGTAGTCTGAGACATCCGCGCTTGGCCGGGAGTCTGAGACACCCGCGCCTGGCCGGTAGTCTGAGACATCCGCGCTTGGCCGGGAGTCTGAGACACCCGCGCCTGGCCGGTAGTCTGAGACATCCGCGCTTGGCCGGGAGTCTGAGACACCCGCGCTTGGCCGGGAGTCTGAGACACCCGCGCCCGGCCGGGAGTCTGAGACACCCGCGCTTGGCCGGGAGTCTGAGACATCTGCACCCGGCCGGGAGTCTGAGACACCCGCGCCTGGCCGAGAGTCTGAAACATCCGCGTCCGGCCGGGAGTCTGAGACATCCGCGCCTGGCCGGAGGGGAAGATGCCTTCCCCCTGGGATCTCCAACTTCCAGATGCCGTGTGAGAAAAAAAAAACATGCGGCTGTGAGGGTCTCGTCAAAATACGAAGAATGCGCACACAATTTCTGACCTCAAATCAAATCTGAGGTCACGAAAGGTCACAAAGGTCGAAGCGGTTGTTCTGATAGGTGCAGTTAAAACCTATGTTAAAACGTCATCACGGATATTGAGGGCACTGAAATAAGCGTCAAGACTGTGGGAAGTCCGCCGTTTCTGTTCCCTACAAAGATCGGGTCAGATCAGATATGGTTAAAAGTTGTTTTACTAGTAGTCTACAAGAACGATACATTTTTCACAATGTGCTTCTATTTTATTATTAAGTTTATTTTATTGTGTGTAGCTGTGGGAAAAAGCCATTCCAGACACAAAAATATTATTTTAGGCTGACTCCGAGGCCATTTGAAGTCAAACTTATAAACCGTCCAAGTGAAAAACGGAAATGTTAGTCGGGTCTCTGTAACCAGTACAATGTTTTACTATAGTCAGAAATAGTATGTTGAACATCTACATGTACTCAAGACCGCATACCTGTGACTTCCGTTCGTCCATTTTTATACATTTTTATTATTTATATATTTTTATATTTTGTATTTTTATATTCTTATATATTTTGTATTTTTATATTCTTATATATTTTGTATTTTTATGTCTGTTTTATATATTTTATATTATGTTATATATATTTTATATACCTGTTATTTACATTCGTCCATCTTTACATTATATGTCCATTCGACGCTTGAAAATGTACCTGTAACAAACTGAGAACAGGCACGTTGGTACATTAAATTATACAAAATCATCTTTACAAACACGATAAGGAGATGTTTAGTCGCATTGCACTCGTTCATCTAGCTTCTCCACTACTCATAACATATGCCATTGGCCTTAAATAACCTCATATGACCTTGCATGTCTTCACCTGATATACTGTGTCTTCATTAAGCATTATAATTACATCAAAATATGTTTTCAGTAGAGTATTCGAATTCTGCGTCCAAAATTTCCTTTTAAAACTGCCTCTTTCGAGCTCAGCATGTGTTTTCCAGAATGCATCCGTAGAGGTGGGGCATGACCTGGGCCAAGGCCATGTGCCCATGGTCACATGGTTGTTGCGCATGTGAGTTAGTATTCTTTTCCGTATATGCAAGCACCAAAACTACACAAAAATAGTGCAAATTTGCATTATTTATGTTAAAATAGCAAAGGTTAGTCTGACTTTAGGCCACTGACTTCGCCAGTTTTGAAAAATCAAAACTAAACAAGCTGTAGGTGCTACACGTTCGATTACTTAAGCAAGTGTGAACAATGGCAAATGGCCCACAAAAATATGTGTGATCATTTTTTTGGAACTGACCTCTTTGACTCTACCTAGGTCGCTGATCTTGGTAGATAGAAACTTCGAATTTGCAAAAGGATGCCAAATTGATAAATAACTAGGTGCTAAAAATTTTGTTTTGCTGCGAGCGTGCGTTTTTGACCTGTACTAAAAAAAAAACATTGAGGAAGTCAACTCCGCGGCCGGGGGCGAGTTAAGAATATGGCGGGTGAGTCGTCAGATTCAGCTTCTTTGAGAGACTCGAGTTCATCAAGTAACTTGTCTCATGCGATATTCATTACGATCACGCCCAGATAGGGTATGGGCCGATGCCCATGGCTAGGATGTATCTCCTTAGGTAAAGCCTGAAAAGCTATCCATTCGGTATAAGTTATTGATGTTTTTAGTTTTAAGGGCGCGTGAAATGCATTGGTTATTCGTGCCATTCAGTATGTTGGATTTTGTCTCACTGCCCGAACGGCTTGCTGCTTTGCATGTCAGTAAAGTGACGCCATGTTGCTTAGTAAGCTCCCACGGGATCAATATGGAGGTCCTTTCGTTGTCCTTCACCCTCGCCCAACGAGGGCGCCTCATACGCAACTCGTACGTTTTTCTTTAACACTGATCAATTTTGAGCGGGGTGCCATATTTTTTGGTAGATGAATTAATATCATATCTATACATGTGAAAATTAAAGTTTCTCGATGGTTCAACAGTTAAAACGCCATCCTCGAGGTCATGTCGGTGACATCTGCTAAAAGGCAATAAATAACACCTACTTCTCGCAGGAGGGGTAATCCAAGCAGTCTGTCTAGACTGCTTTTCTATTTATATCACTCTATATTGCTCCGAAGGGAATTGCTATTGCTATGGTGGTTTACGTAATGCCAGGTTATCCGACGTTAACCTAGGTAAAACTTTGGCATTTGTAGACCATTTAAGGGTCATGTGATTTCAGGCTTAACGTCATGGGCGTGTTAGAATATTTATGGGTACCTTTCTAACCCTGGTATACCCATCCAAGTGGCTTACTTGGTTCTAGATATAGCAGGACAGGCCAATGAAAGACATTTTCACCTCTTTGATCTCCTGCCATGGCCCATCGCAGGCTGCATGCGTCGATGTTCCCAGTTGGCTATCTCATAGAACCTTCCAAGCGTTATGCAACACCGTCTCCCGCGTTTGTAGCACGGGCAGAGAACATGTTGTGGAAGTTGTTATATATATATATATATATATATATATATATATATATATATATATATATATATCCCAACAAGCGCCGCATGATGGATGACCTACTTCGCCTCATCTACTTCTTCCTTTAAAAGCATGGTTGAAAATCTTCAACACGTGGCATAAATGGGGACACAAGGTGATTGATAACATATATGGCAAAGCAATCTTTCTCTCAGAAATACTGACCGCTACAATATCAGAAATGAATTAACACGCACCCGGGTGGTCAGTTGGATACCCTTCGCTCGGATGGGGGTCAATTTTGCCCCCCCCCCCCGCCCACCCCTCACCGAGATCTCAGGAACTAAGGGAGCTAGGGGCACTAAATTCACAGGACGTATTGGTCTGCATGTGAACACATTTAAATCAAATTTTAACGTTCCTTGATCGTGGCCTTCGGGTCAAATAAGGTCAAACAGGGTCAAACTCCAGGCTGGTCTCCAAAGTACTCCCAGAACCTAGATGCCTGCTCTAAGCAAAAGCTCCCATGCTCATTTAAAATCAGTGATCTTGTCTCACCTTTCGAAGGCTATAGTGACCAAAATCATACAAGACTGCTTTAAGCTTTGCGTTCGAATGAGCAAAAAAGATTATGCTAGGCAGTAGGTTTCTCAAAACAAAATGTTGACCTGGGTCATTTTAGGTCAGTGACCGATTCTAATCTCTAAGAAGTCCGCGGAAGATGCACAATACGGTTCCTGATGTCAATAAAATCGAAGTGAGCACTAGAAACTACACCACACGGCAAATCCTAGAGTAATAAAGCAGGCTGGTTTTGACCCTGGTCTGACATTCACACCTGACCCTCGGTCAATGTAATTTGTTCGCCGTGTCGACCTGCCGTAGGCCAGCGACCGTAAAGGTTGCATCTAAATTTTGGTTGCCAAACGATCTGTTATTCAATTTTCTACAGCCACGCAAAATTTGGCGCGGCTATGCTGCGCCTTTCGAAAACCGTTCTGGAAAAAAACCTTTGGAGGGGTCAAATTGGCCTCCCACCCAAGCGCGTGTTAACCCTAATACCGGTGTGAACTGTTTGTCTCCCAGAAAATTCAAAACTACGTCTCCGCCGTACAAAAACCTTGTACTTCCTTCAAACCTTTTGGGTTCAAGGTTCTTTCTTTTTTAAGTACACTTTCCTTAAACTCGCTGTTGTGTGCCAGGGAGTCTGCCTACGAGTGTGGCTGGAAGAAAATGCCTAGATGTACTTACCTTTGCATTTTTCGCAGCAGGAGTCGGGTCGAATGCGCTGCCCCGCCAGCACCAGATGGCACGCTTCTGTCATTGGACAGAGCTCTTGCTCGCAGGTCACATTGCCCCCCTGCGGCAGGTTACACAAGGTCATACGTCTCGTTAACCCTACTCCGCGCGCGATGATGCGTGGTACAGCAGCGGTAGCAAATTCTGTTTCTTCGTGATATACCGAGCAGCACTGATTTTAACCCAAAGAACGACGATCGATTCGTCAGAAAACGGTCTACAATTGTCAATGATACAACTCTGAACAACTTGAAAAGTGGGCTCTTAGAGCGACAAAAATTCAAGGTTTCGGAGGTATTTCAGATATGTCACTGACGCCGCATATTCGTCCCGGCCGGCACGTAATTAACGTGATCCAGTATGCACCGGTGACTACCATGCCTGTTGCGAGTTACTTTAAATGTTTTACAGTCCTAAGCGTGTCCTGGTAGACGCCTGCGCAGTCGCCGTACAGTGCAGCCCCATGTATTGGTATGGCCTGCGAAAGCATCGAGAGAAAACCTACAGCTCTGAGCTCCGACTTCGACGTTCGTCCCCATAAAAGGATAATTCGGTACTGATGTCAAGCGGACCGCATCGCGTCAACGTTATAAATCAGCGGAGAGGAAACCGCCATAAGATGATGAAACTTCAGCACGGCTCTGTGTTTGTCGAATATCACACAGCTCATCTGGCTTGTCATTTGAACTGTTTAGAGCATAACTCTTAAGAAGATATGTCTTAATTGATCTGTTATCATTCCATGACGATGTCGTTTATTTGAGTTTGGAGACAAGTTGCGCCAAAAGTGATAGCAGAACATGTTTATGAATATGGCCGATAAAGATCAAGAGACCGGTGAGCAATGCACCACTTTGGGAATTTGTCTACATTTGTCTACCTCTACGTTTGCAAAGCATTGCATCATGTTTGAAACCAATCATTCTCCGAGCGTGACGCATGGAAACGCCAACACAGGGCTTCCAGCTGGCAGCTGCCCGAATACACACATGCATTTTGCTTTGTTGTGGGGAAGTAGCAACTCGAGTCCATAACAAAACGCGACTGAAATGGCGTTCAATGTAAGTTGGCAGAAGTTTTTCTCAGCAACTGGTCACGCTGCAAACTGAGGTGAAGCTGACCGGACCGGTTCTGAACATAACTGCACGGGATTATCGGCTGATACGGCAGTCCGTTAATCAATTCAGACATTCATGACCCATTAATCCAGCAAAGTCATCACGACCAAATTTTACAGAATGTCTGGCAGGAATTGAGCAACATGGTTTTTGTCCAAGCTGGCAAAACCTTACTCATGCCGCGAACGATTTGGTAAGCGACTCGGCTGGTTGATGTCGGAGAAATGTGACGTGGCTGGGTCCACGCGGAGCAGGAATCGAATACCAGTCATGGAATGTGACGTGGGTGGGTCCACACGGAGTAGGAATCGAATACCAGTCATGGAATGTGACGTGCGTGGGGCCATGTAGAGCAGTGATCGAATACCAATCATGACATTTGACGTGGCTGGGGCCACACGGAGCAGTGATCGAATACCAGTCATGGGATGTGACGTGGCTGGGGCCACGTAGAGCAGTGATCGAATACCAGTCATGGGATGTGACGTGGCTGGGGCCGCGCAGAGCGGTGATCGAATACCAGTCATGGGATGTGACGTGGCTGGGGCCATGTAGAGCAGTGATCGAATACCAATCATGACACGTGACGTGACTGGGGCCATACAGAGCATTGATCGAATACCAGTCATGGGATGTGACGTGGCTGGGGCCACACGGAGCAGTGATCGAATACCAGGCATGGGTGACGTGGCTGGGGCCATACAGAGCAGTGATCGAATACCAGTCATGGGATGTGACGTGGCTGGGGCCAAACAGAGCCGGGGGATGAATGACAGTCATGGGACGTGACGGGATCACGCAAAGCCGGCGACTGATCGAGGTCAACAGGGACGATGGGAAGAGGGTATCGGGTGGCGTGGCAGCGGATCTCATCCTTGGCAACATTAGTGTTAACCTTGTGGCGTTTCATAGAAAAAAGTCAAGCAAAAAATCGCACTCGTCTCCTCCTCTCGCTCTCCGTCGGTCCAGAGTATCCATCGTGACCCGTGGACGGGTAGCCCTCGCATCATTACCACTCAGCCGAAGAGCGCGTACCTCAACAGTCCTGCACCCCGAAAATAAGGTCTCCAGATCAATGGTAGACAAAGGGTATAAGGGTGGTGCTCATGCACATAAAGATCTAAAATGATCCGAATCTCCCGTGGAGGTCGGATTTAATGGGCTTTAACAGCTAGAATGCAACTATATCAATAATCGCAAAGATCGTAATGATCAAATTATGCCGTCACACGATGATGGCGACATACAAAGATCGCTACCGAAGAGATCTCGGCGAGGCGAATCAAGAGAACAAAGGATCAGCACCCGGTCTCAGAAAGCACAGACGCAGACCTCGGCATCCACTAGGCTCACCACGAAAGCGTGTGGGCAGAGGCGTTCCAGTTTCACCGCCTTGTCCGATTTATCAATAATGCAAGAGCTTATATCTTATGAAAAATTGCGCTATATGCACAACATATGCTTACATAATGAGATTCGCATACAACGTAGCTTATATCTGTGGTATAAGATATGTCACGTTGTATATTATCTTTGGTAGCTGTAGCTGTGGTATCTAGTGGCTGCGGTATGGAACTGCCAACTACGAGAAGATAATATATTTGTGTGTAAAAGAGTGAATGTGTGGAAAGCAAACACAATGCATTGCGTCTGTATCACGGTGTATAATGCATGGCCATTGGTTCGCACAAAACATGAGTACTCACCAAGCAACGACAAGTGATGCATGGATTTTCTTTGATGAAGCCCACTTCTACATTTCCTCCCTCGTTCGTACATGACTGCAACCGACCTGTAAACAAATAGCCGCAGATCGATATCAGATGACGAAACCAGCAGCGGGACCACAACCCAGAGTGGTACAGACGGTCTGTCGAGATCATTCAGTTGCATTATCGTGCTATTACTCAATGGACAGGGCACAACAATTCATTTTTTAGTTTCCGGCCCCGCAGCTTTTATCAGCTATGGGATAGTGTGCCCATATTATGAAGATTACAAGGCGCACAAACAATCATTTTCGCCGCACGGAAGTGTCGTCTTTATAGTTCAGATAATAGTGTATAGGTCTTTTTTATTGTTAAAGAACACATCTTCGTACACGGAATGAACAATGCGCATAATCCAAAATTGGGAAAAATCGCGGACATGGCACAGCACGCGTTATGTTGAGCTAGGTTGTCTTTTGACCTTGACATAAATGATACCTTGCTCGCGAGAATCCAGCGTGTAATCTTCATTCGCCGCTCGCCCCGCATTCGCCGCACTGGCCTCATTGGCCATCAGCGGCGCCTGGCCTTGTTCCGCCAGCACCTGACCTCGTGTCACTGGGACCTGACCTCGCCTGACCTGATCTCGTGTCGATGGACCTGAACTCGGCTGACCTGACCTCGTCCCATCGGGATCTAAAGTCGCCGGGACCTGACCTCGCTTAACCTAAACCTCGCATCACTGAGACCTGAGCTCGGCTGACCTGACCTTGCCTGACCAGACCTCGTGTCGATGTACCTGACCTCGCCTGACCCGACCTCGTGTCGATGGACCTTAACTCGGCTGACCGACCTCGTCACGCCTGACCTGACATCTCCTGACCTTGTCCCACCGGGACCTGACCTCGCCTGACCTGACCACATGTCGCTGAGAGTGCGCTACGGCCGTCGGCCAGCAATCGACCTCACGACCGACACAATTGGAAGCACGGCGCGAGCAGCGGTCCACACTGGTACAAATTCCTTGGGATGAGTAAGCCTTCAGGTTTGAGGTGATTCGGAATGATCGAAGTACACATTGCATCCCTGTTTTTAATCATATAGCCATGGAATGGTCAGGGATGGTCGAAAGAACTCCACCCTAACCAACTACATTTTTGGAGGGGGGGGGGGGGTATGTTCCTTCTCGTAGAGCTGAACACACACTTGCCAGAAAAGAAGTAAGCTCCATCTTTGGTCTTATCCGTCTAGAATCTGGCCAGCAATACAACGATACAATGAGCTGTCATGTCGGTATTCCTCTAGCATGCAAAAAATCGCCTGGTGTTTATAAAGGGGTTCATTTTCTTTTGCCGGAGCCGGTGCCTTTTCGGCCCATCGAAGGCTAATAACCCCACTACCTCAAATCAGTGTTACGTCCACTAAGATCCGATTATTTGTCGGGATAGCACATATTTACGCCTTCCTGCTATCAAAGACAACACTCGCGAATGATTGCTCACAAGACATGAAATAACACATCATCAAACTACGAAGACATTTTGCGTATCGATCACAAGACAAATGCATGGCATGCAGGTCGGCCCTTTGAAACACATTATAACTGCAGGTGACTAATATCTATGTGACAATATCTACGCGAGTACGCACCGGTCGCGTGAAGGCCGAGTCAAGGTCTGGCTACACATCACGGACACATCAGATTGATGACGCAGCACACATCCCCACACAGCCCCTGCAGCACGCAGTTCATGTCCGCACCTCCCGTCGAGCCGTCACCGCCAGCAGCCAAACGGAGTGACTTCGCCAGCGCGGCGGTTTTCGGGAGTGGCCACATGGGCCTCTGTTGACCTAGCCACACATCGCGCCGGTTTCAGAGCGGCCTCGGAGTGCATGCCATCGCATCGACCGCGCTGCTCACCTTTTGGACTGCGCATGCTTACGCTGGTTCACATCCAGTGACCTTACCTTGTGGAAACGAATACCCGTCGCCGCCGGAGGAAAGGAAGACCAGAGTCAAAGCAGCGCTGGTCAGCAGGTGACTCCCTACTGCCACTCCGACCTGTCGGTGAAAACGACCAAACCTCAAGCTATGACCTTACAACGGCAAAAGCAGGCGTGCGCGTTAAAGAGAAGGTTTCACATTTGAACATATTGGAGCAAACATCAGATATGATGAAGCAAGCTAACTTATAACTATTGAAATATTTTGAAGTAGAAAAGGCTGCTCTAGACACCACAACTTCTCTGCTTCGTAGATGTTCTCCTCGATACGTCCTTATTTGATTGCGTCATCATGCCTTGCACAACAATAGTTGAGAACCAATTGACTGCTATTATATTTGGAAATCGTGCTCACGAATGGTAGATATGAACGACCCGACCATTATATTTCTATCAGTCTTGATCGACGCATGGAATATGGCGTGACAGGACTTGAATGACGTTCTTATGACGCTATGAATGCCAAGGCTACCTTGAAATACTCTCCCCGAAATGCTCTCCTCATTTTCGCGGGCGTATAGCTCAGAAACCAGAGAGATTTAGGTCTTGAGGAGGGCAGAGCTGTGAAATGCACTGAAAGTTCCTCAAGATGGCTATATGAGTTCAAGACCCCACATAAAAGTGGAGCACTGCCTTTAACTCTACGCCACACGGAAGGACGATGGCGAACAGCCGTATATTGCAGAGATCATACGGCAACCAATTTGCCGTGTCTGTTTAGCAATCGGTGTACATTCTCTCTGTTTCTGCTCTTAAGCATCACACACGCGGCAAGTTTAGTCGATATTCTATCACCAGCCTCGCCTCGTAAGGAGTACAAACCATATGGTATACGTGACACGCTGCTGATGTAGGATCATGAATCGTGCTGGCGCTCGCGCCTGCTGGCGCCCTCGATGTCACCTTTGCTTTCCCTTTCGTTCTACCTGTCGTTCTCGTCCTCGCTTGCGTTCTCGCTATTGCTCTCATTCTGTTCCCCGCCCTGTTTGACGTTGAGTGCAAGTGGTGTTTCAGAGCACACGCAGATGACTGTTCGTGAAGATATCCGTGTCAACAGGGCGTGCAAAACCTAGCTAGTTGTGTCTTTAAGCGGATAGTGGGACAGATGTGGTCGTAGGAAAGGTGGCAAAGGCTTACCATGCCATTGTCCGCAGCATAGCATGTGGGATTAGTAGAACTTTTGTCTGTAGGGTACTGGAATGTATTCTGGCCATGATGCCCGCAACCATAAATAGGCTTGGAAAAGTCAGTGCCGTTGTCAGCTCGAAACGGCAACGAATGCGAATACGTGGATGATGACAAACAACATATTTAATAGCATCTTCTGAGCGACACAATGAAGATGCGCTAAAAATCATTATTGGAATGTCACCAATCGTAGATGCAATCCAGAAATTGTTGCTTGTCGGTTACCCGCCAAACAACTTATCTATACAATCATGCACTAACGCGATGCAACAGGACGTGCAGGAATTGGCTGCTTGTTTATCACAAGCTCAGATCGGTTATCTGCTGCTAATCAAAGCTCACGGATGTCTGTCAGCGTAGCCCTCCGTTCCCACCCGACGGCGCCCATGTTCCGCAGCCACCAACTCGCAAGGGGCCGGTCGCCTGGCTGTGAGGGCTGGCTAGCCGAAGCTCCTGACCGAGGCCTCGTCGCAGTCTGTCAAGTTCGGCCCATACCGCCCAGTGACGCTACGGTGCACGGAAGGCGCCTCCCAGATCATCCGGTTCAACCCATGCCGTACGATACGAAAACCCTCTCTTATCGCGTAGATATTGCGGTATAAATAACGGCGTGAATAAGTGGGGACTGGGGACTGGGAGGAAGAACTGAGAGCAGGACTAAACAGGGACTGTTCTGCAGTAGAAGTAGGAACGAATGTACATTTTTGAAGCCTAGGTTTTGTCGCGTAGCAGTCAAAAAGCAGTTGGTTGCGCTACGTACTGGCAGCAGAAGCAATGTCGCGGCGCCTCTTTCGGCAGGAGTTTTGCCGTAACATTACTGTCGTGAAGCCGTCTGCAATGGACATTTTTAATTATGACGTAAGTCTGAGGCCTGATCGGCTCTTCACGGCAAACGGAAAAGCTGAGCGAAGCCAAGTCTAGGCAGCCCTTGACACGGTAATGAAACGAAAGAAAACAGAGCGAGACAGCGCACAACGCCCTCCACCACAAATACAACCACAAGGTAGCTAAAAACATGTTTCGGGGGACAGATTGTTAGCTGGTTTTCTGCTGTTGTCATGGGGCTTCTGCTGCCGAGGCTTTTTAACGTCACTTGCCCCTTGTCTTGCCAGGAAGGGCGAGACCGCCGTTGTATAACCCCTACCCCTGTTCTCCTAGACGCACAGCTAAACCACTGCACTACCGGAACCCTTCGTGTATTTTATGTAACCACTTCTTGGATGCGGTCACCACACTCTCCGAACCTAACCCCACCAGATTTTTACCTGCGGAATGCTTCAGAAAGCTATACAAAACATCTAAAAACATTTCTTAAATAAAAAAACAGCTGGGGAAGCAAATTTTGTTATATATTTGTCCCGAATGAATTTATCGGATATATTTATGGGATCAGAGCCCACACCAAGCAGTGCTTGTGCAAACCCTGGTCCTAAATTTCGATCTTGAAGCAAAAGTGTAAAGTACCGCAATGGTCGGCACAGTTCACCTTGCCCTCTGACCTCATCTGACCTTGGGAGACTGCAGGTCGGCACAGTTCACCTTGCCCTCTGACCTCATCTGACCTTGGGAGACTGCAGGTCGGCACAGTTCACCTTGCCCTCTGACCTCATCTGACCTTGGGAGACTGCAGGCCGGCACAGTTCACCTTGCCCTCTGACCTCATCTGACCTTGGGAGACTGCAGGCCCTTCAAGCCAGGGGCAAACAGGAAGCGCCGAGGCGGTTCAACCCCAACCCCACCATAGGTGGAGTGGAAAGCACGCGCTCTAACTAACTGAGCTACGATGGCCGCTCCAGCCCTCTCCAAAATAGCCTACGGAGCTGACCGTTCCAACCCTCTCTGCAGTAACCTATGAGGGCTGACCGATCTGGCCCTCGCCGCAGTGGCCTCCGAGTGTGTAGCGGTGCACAGCGCAGGCATGTCTGTGTGGTGGATCCCAAGGCGAGGCCGGCACCTGGAGTCTACAATCGATTGGCAGGGCGAAGTCTGTACATGCTCAAAGGCGGTTCAGAAGCGTAGTCAATATGAAGAATATAATGCTGCAAACATTGAAGAAGATTGTTTGGCGTTAACAAAAATGCTATAATGTCTTAGGCGATTTCGTTTCACACAAATCCAGGGCACGGAAGTGCGAACCGACGCGGAAAAAAACGCAGTTTGAGCATCTGAATAATCGAAGGGCACCATTGCTACCAAGGAATTGAAAGTTGCCGAAATTTAAAAAAAACATCAATCAAGATACACATGACTTTTATGAAAACAGAGCAAAAAATGAACCATTTTCCTAAAAAAAACCGTAGGTTCTCGCATGCTTGGCTGCAGTGAGCTGATGGATGCAACCCAGGTACAATGGTAAGCAAATGAAAAATCCCCATCCGCTGGCACCAGGAGGTCCGCCCCAAATACGTAACGTTGACTCATGCCTCAACCACAGGAAGCAGATTTTATTTAACAGTGTCACGTAGACATAATTGTTCTCTGGGGGTGGGTGAGAGCAGGCGCAAATTCTAAATTTTCTCAGAACTCCTGATAATTCGGCCTGAACTCCTGTGAAATCACCCAACATGCAGTATAACCCTGTTGTTTCAGGGGAGGGGGGGGGGGGGGGTCGGCCACTCCCTTGGCTGCGCCCCTGAGGTAATATCTACAATCTGTTAAACACTCATGGATCACTTAAACACATTGCCCGTGAAACGCTGTTCCGCGTGCTGAGAACATCGCATAAATATTATGCAGTTGTGGTTCACGCTTGCTTTACTGCGCGAAGAGCCGGCGCGCCGGCATCGATAAGGCATCGACATGACATGGATTGCATCCCAATGATGCACAGCGTGCTTTAATTAGGTTTACAAGCTTCTCTTACTTGTCAGCGCCCAGTGCTGCAGGTTTGATTACCGTTGCTCGAGATTTGCGTTGTGTTTTCCAGGGCTTCGCTTTTGTGCAACTTGTTCCTCTTACACACACGACAAGTGTATCCGTGTCAAGTGTCAAAATTTGCCCCCTTGCGCACCACGCAACTGGTATCGGTAGCAGAAATGCGTGAAATCACATCGTAGACCATCACGAGGGCCAAACCAGTCGCGGGTGCGAATTTCACGGCAGTCCGCGCAGCCGTCTGCACTATGCGTCTAGCTAAAAAAGTGCACATATCCAGGCAGAGATACGTTCTACACTAGCCGTTTAAATGAAACTTCTTTTGAGCGGGAGGGGGGGGGGGGGATGAGAGAGGCAATCATGTAAAGAGACATGCACAATGCTCAAGCTGCAAGCTGAGTATGAGCCCCGGCGAGCTGCACACGGTAGTCGGCCACGGGCCATTGCGACTGCGGCCGGGCCCACGGATACAGCGCGTCTTACGAACAGGCCGCCGTCTGGACTGGCAGGACCGGTAGCGCCGAGATGGACCAGCCACCGGCACGTCACCTGACCACGTGCCGGGCGGGACCCGACCGGCGCGCGCGCTGCGCGTGTCGCCGCGTTCCATGCGCCGCCCGCTGCGCCGGCGCGCCATATTATGCAGATGCACCCAGATCAGGGCGCGCGCAGTCAAGGTCGCGGCGCGCCGGAGCGCGCCGTCCTGCCGCTCTGCCGGGCTCCAGCTGGGAGCGATTCATCAGCGGCGAGGAGCGGACCGAGTGGCCGCCCCGCCCTGCCCCCGGTCACCGCCAGCGCAGCCGAGTGGGCCGCTCTCTCCCGACCGGGCCGCGCCTCAGCTGACTGCTTAGGTCCTGCTCTCCTTCTTCTCTCTCTTTCTCTCTGGGGTGTCCATGGTGTAGTGGCTGAGTTGCGCGTCTGTGGTACGCAAATCCTGATAACGTAGCAATGTAGAGGACGTAGGCGAACTGAAAATGCGCGGTTCTATTCCTCGCG